ACTTGAAGAACCTAAGGCAAGGTCAGCTAAAGAACAAGCAGGTCAAAAGCAGCCTGGAAGCAAGATACGATCTGAGGAATAAGGAGATTGCGGTAGTAATTGAAGAGCTGAAGCAAAGGATTGTTGCCATCGCTGAAAAGATTAAAAGGTATGAAAACCGAGTAACTCAGTTCAAGGAAAACTCACAGTTCAGAGCAAATCAGCACCAGTTTTATAAGAGCTTAGAAAATGGAGACGGAGTAACAACAAATGAAAAGCTTGATAAAGAGAAAGCTCTGAAATTCTGGAAGAATTTGTGGGAAAACAACAAGAAACACAACAGAAATGCAAAATGGATCCAACAGGTTGAGGACTCTATTAAAGTGCATAAAATGGAAGACGTGAAAATAACAAAAGAAATGGTGCAAAGACAGTCCAAAAAGTGAAGAACTGGAGTGCACCTGGACCGGATGAGCTGCATGGCTTCTGGTTAAAGGCACTTACAAGTGTGCACAAAAGATTGGCGACCCAGATGAACCAGATCCTAAAAACACCTGAAAATGATGAATGGATGACAACTGGAAGGACATTTTTGATCCAAAAAGATAAAGAAAAAGGAAAGGACCCTGGAAACTATAGGCCAGTGATGGCGAACCTTTTTCTTGTTGTGTGCCAAAAGTGTGTGTACCCTGCACATGCGGTTCACACACCCCCGGCCATTTTGGGCCTGGAAAGCCTCCTGCAGTAAACTTTGCCAATGCGAACGGCTTGCCAGCCTTGCGCTCTGGGCAGCGTCCAGCCATGCCGCCAAGAAAAGCACCTTCCTCCAGTTGCTGGAAGTAAAAGGCGGCTCTGCGCAGCTTGCCGAAAAACTTTTCTCTCGACGGCAGTTCTCTTTTGCGCGCTCAGAGCCTCATGCTAAACAATCCCTCTTGCAGTCGTTTCTCAAGCAGAGGAAAAGACGGGAGGGCTGGAGGGGGGGCAGGAAACCGATCCAAACTCTCTCCCTTCCCTTCTTTCTCCCAACCCCGCCAGCCACTCTTAGTTTACCCCTAGTGATGCAGGATAAACACTCGGAGGTGGATCGGTTCACACAACCCAGTTTCAGCCAATGGCTCAGAGCAGCAGCTTCGCTTGGGGAGGAGGGGAAAGGATCGAGACAAGAAAGCCGGAGATCTGGCAGTCTGTTAATCTGTTAAACGTTTTTCCAGAGGCTGCCAGAGCTCCGGCTTTCTTCCCTCGAACCTTTCTCCTCCTCCTCAAGCGAAGAGTATGGAGGGGGGTCTGGAAGAAGGGATGAAGTTTGCTTATTTAAGGAGGACGCGCTTCTGGCGTGAATGTCACAATCCCTGGAAGGATTGGTCGTTCTCTTAAGAGTGGGCTGCCTGCGAACAGTTGAGATGATTTTGAAAAGATTTTCGAAGCCTGCCCTTCAGTTGCTTTCGAGTTTGGAAAAACGTACTTGGGGATTCTAGAGGCCTCTGACTTAATGCACAATAAAGTCAAGGAATTAACTTCAGCCAAGTACATTAGGCGAATTCATAAGATATTAATGTCCAAACTGAGTGGAGGAAACATCATAAAAGCCATAAATACCTGGGCTATACCTGTGATTAGATACTCTGCAGGAATAATTGATTGGACCCAGATAGAGTTAGACAATTTGGAAAGAAAAACAAGGAAGCTTATGACAATGAATCATGCCTTGCACCCTAAAAGTGATGTTGACCGATTATATTTACCAAGAGCAGAGGGTGGTCGAGGACTCCTACAAGTAAAGCAGACTGTGGAAGAAGAAAATCGCAGCTTGAATGAATACATCCAGAAAAGTGAAGAACCAATGATTAAGGAAGTAAATAAAGGAGGCCTTTTAAAGACAACTAAAACAAAAACAGAATATAAGAAAGAAGTAATTGAGCAGCGAGCTGAAAATTGGAAACACAAAGCTCTGCATGGCCAATACTTGAAAAGTATTGAAGGCAAAGCTGACCAGAAACTAACTTGGAACTGGTTAAGATCAGGAGTACTGAAAAAAGAAACAGAAAGCTTTATTTTGGCAGCTCAAGAACAAGCCCTAGCCACAAACTGCATGAAGGCAAAAATTCAACATGTTACCACCAACAGCAAATGCCGCCTCTGTAATGAGAAAGATGAGACAGTCGACCACCTGATCAGTGGGTGCAGCAAAATTTCACAAACTGACTACCTATAACGCTACGACCGCGTTGCTAAGATCATTCACTGGAAATTGTGCCAGAAGTTTGGATTTGAGTACAGCAAAAACCACTGGAAACATCAGGTTGAGAAAGTTTTAGAGAATGGGAAACTCAAGATCTTGTGGGACTTTAGACTTCAGGCACTTGGTCCATAACACACCTGACATAACAATAGTTGAAAAGAAAAAAGTATGGTTCATTGACATTGCAATACCTGGTGATGCACGGATTGAAGATAAGCAGCAAGAAAAAATCACAAAGTACCGGGACTTGCAAATTGAAGTTGAGCGACTGGGGAAAAAGAAATCGTGTGTTGTCCCGATTGTAATTGGAGCCCTTGGAGCAATACCCAAAGGGCTACCCCGCTATTTAGAAATTCTAAATTTGCCGGACTTGAACATTTTGACTCTCAAAAAAACCACCTTACTCGGAACAGCTTACATCCTCCGACGATACCTTAACAGTTCCTAGGTCCTTGGTTAGGACTCGAGCTGCTGAGCTATTAACCAGCCTCAAAGGCTGTGAATCTCACTAAAGATTAACCAATAATAATAATAATAATAATAATAATAATAATAATAATAATAATAATAATACAGAAGGGTCCAGCAAAAGGGGCAAAACCTGCAAATTACAGGCTAATAACGTATCTGCCAACCATGTTCAAGCTGCTGACTGGCATTATAGCTGACAGGATTCAGGACTACCTAGAAGCAAATAACATCTTGTCAGTAGAGCAGAAAGGAAACAAGCGAGGAAGCAGAGAAAGATCAGCTTCTGATCAACAAAACGATTTTAGAGAACTGCAAAAGCCGAAAAACAAATCTGCATACAACTTGGATTGACTACAAGAAAGCATTTGATTCACTACTGCACAGCTGGATCATCAAGTGCCTGGATGTCTTCGAAATATGCAAGTGCATTGGTACTTTCATTGCAAATGCGATGAAGCACTGGAAAACAGAACTGTTTATTGGAAGTGAAAGTTATGGACTGATCAACATCAAAAGAGGGATTTTCCAAGGTGATTCTTTGTCACCTCTGCTGGTCATCATCGCCTCTGTCAACAATTCTACAGAAAACTAATCTGGGTTATCAAACTGCTAAAAATTCACAGAAAATCTCTCACTTGCTGTACATGGATGACCTGAAGCTATATGGAAAATCAGAAATTGAAATCCAGTCACTGACCAATACAGTTTGAATTTTCAGCACTGACATCAGCATGGAGTTCGGCCTGAACAAATGCGCCACAGTGGCATTGAAGAAAGGGAAGATCGTAGAAAGTAATGGAATTGAAATGCCCAATGGACAAACCATCAAGTGCCACCAACCCGAAGCCTACAAATACCTGGGCATACTGCAGCTGGACAACATCAAGCACGGGCAAGTGAAAAATGTGGTCAGCAAAGAATACATACAAAGGATCAGGAAACTTCTAAAAAGCAAACCAAATGGCGGTAACACCATCAAGGCTATAAATACCTGGGCCATATCTGTCATCAGATATACTGCTGGGATCGTAAACTGGACACAGGCAGAGCTGGACAGCCTGGATAGGAAAACAAGAAAACTGATGACCATACACTATGCGCTGCACCCACGTAGTGATGTCGACAGGCTATATTTGCCCAGGAAAGCAGGCGGCAGAGGACTTCTGCAAGTGAAGCAGACAGTCGAAGAAGAGAAGCATGCTCTGGCAGATTATGTGAAAGACAATGTTGAACCAGCTCTGATGGAGGCCAACAAGAGGAAGCTGCTCAAAGTGCAGCAAACCAAGACTCAATATAGGAAAACAGCGATGCAAACTCGGGCTGACAGGTGGTGTAACAAAGCACTGCATGGACAGTTCCTTGAGAAGATCCAAGGAAAAGTAGATAAGGAAAAGACCTGGTTATGGCTGACCAACGGAACACTGAAAAAAGAAACAGAAGGCCTGATTCTTGCAGCCCAGGAACAAGCCATCAGAACGAATGTAATCAAAGCCAGAATAGAAAAATCTGCTGATGACCCCAAATGCAGACTCTGCAAAGAAGCGGATGAAACCACTGATTGCATACTGAGCAGTTGCAAGACAATAGCTCAGACTGACTACAAACAACGTCACAACACAGTCGCTCAGATGGTCCACTTGAACTTGTGTCACAACTACCATCTGCCTGTAGCAAAGAACTGGTGGGATCATAAGCCTGAAAAAGTGGTTGAAAATGAGCATGCAAAACTACTGTGGGACTTCCGAATACAGCCTGACAAAGTTTTGGAACACAATACCCCTGATATCATGATTGTGGAGAAGAAAAAAGTGTGGATCGTCGACATTGCCATACCTGGTGACAGCAGAATCGACGAGAAACAACTTGAAAAAGTCACCAGGACTTGAGAATCGAACTGCAGAGATTCTGGCATAAACCAGTGAAGGTGGTTCCAGTGGTACTTGGCACACTGGGTGCTGTGCCTAAGGATCTAGGCAAGCACTTAAAAACAATTGGCGCTGACAAGATCACTATTGGTCAGCTGCAGAAGGCCACCTTACTGGGATCTGCTTGCATAATCCGCAGATACATCATGCAGTCCTAAATGCTTGGGAAGTGTTCGACTAGTGATTTGGGATACGAAATCCAGCATGGTCACTTCGTTTGCTGTGTATACTATCATAATAATAATAATAATATTGATGGTATATTGTTTGCTTATATATAATCATAATCTTACATTATTTACTTGTACCTAGTGGTAATCTTTAATCTTCTCTTTTCTAATTCTGTTATCTAGCCAGTGATAGAACGCATCCCATGTTGAGAAATATTCTGATTCTTCCTTATCCTTTATTTTTAGCCTAAATCTATCCATCTCTACACAATCTAATATATTTTTAATTATCTTCTCCTCTGTAGGAGTACCCTCATCCTTCCATTATTGTGCAAATGCAATTCTCACTGCTGAAAGAGTATTTTTCCAGGCAAACCATACATCACACTTCAAAGATTTAAACTGCATCTTTCCAATATGGATTAGAGTGTGATTTTTGAGGGACGATTGATAAGAAAATGCTCTCCCATGATCTGAGAGTTTCTAATCCCCCCTCCCCCCTTTGATGAACTCTTATATAACTTCTAACAGTTGAACAACTATGAAAAACTGTTCTCCCATCAGGGCCTATTAGGGCATTTTCCATGTGAGTTTTCTGATGTCTCCTTTTTGAACAAAATATTCCCATACTCTATGCATCTCTATGGCTTCATTCTTGAATGGACCTTTTGATGCTTTCCAAGGTGTTATTTTCAGGAAAAACATTTCCCACACTCCCCACATTTATAGGCCTCTCTCCTGTGTGCCTCTTCTGATGTTTCCGAAGTCCAGCAGACTCCACAAATCGTTTCTCACATTGTGGGCATTGATAGGGTGAGTCTCCAGTGTGAAGTGTCTGATGTCGACTTAGGTGTGACTTGTAGCCAAAACATCTTCCACATTCTGGGCATTGATGGGGTCTTTCTCCAGTGTGAAATCCCTGATGTTGAATTAGTTGTGACTTTTTGGCAAAACACCTCCCACATTCTGGGCACATTTCATTTTTCTGCACAGGCTTGTAAAGCTTCCCTCTGTGAATCCTCTTAGAATGTTTACTAAGATAATATTTGCAAGGAAAAGTTTTCTCACACTCTGGACATTTATATAACTTCTCTAAGTGGCTTCTCTGATGCATCAAAAGTGTATCTTTCCGGGAGAAAGATTTCTCACACACTGAGCATTTATGGCATTTCTCACCTGTATGGGTTTGGCAGTGAATTCTAAGGGATGATGAACGAGCAAATGCTTTCCCACATTCTAAACATTTGAACTTTTTTTCCCCTCTGTGAACATTCTCATGATTTCTGAGGATTTGTATTGTACGGAAAAATCTTCCACATTCAATACACATATATGGCTTCACCCCTGTATGGACAGTCTGATGTTGAAAAAGATTTGCCTTTTGAGAAAAACATTTATCACAATCCTTACATTTATATAGTTTTTCTCCCCTGTGCGTCCTTTGGTGGATCCAAAGTTCAGAAGAATTCACAAATCGTTTCTCACATTCTGGGCATTGATAGGGTCTGTCCCCAATGTGAAGTCTCTGATGTCGAATTAGGTTTGACTTTTCACCAAAACATCTCCCACATTCTGGGCATTCATGGGGTCTTTCCCCAGTGTGAATTCTCTGATGTTTCAGCAGGCATGATTTCCTGGAAAAAGATTTCCCACATTCTAGGCACGTTTTGCTTTCTTCCTTTGTGTGTGTTTTATTATGTTGGCAAAGATATGAACTCCGAGTGAAACACTTTCCACACACGAAGCATTTATAAGGACTCTGCCCTGTGTGAATTTTCTCATGTTTTCTAAAACATTGTTTATAATGGAAAGATTTCCCACACTCCAGACATTGATAAGGTTTCGCTCTGGTGTGGATTTGCTGATGTTTAAGCAGCTGCGAGGTTTGAGAAAAGCACAGCCCACATTGCACACACTTGCAGGGCTTCTCTTCAGCCTGGCTGTTCTGAGGCCTAGAAAGACGCCATCTCTCAGGAAATCTTCCCCAGCTCTTCCTGGATTCCTGAGATCTCTTTCCCTGGTGGATTCGCTGATGGGCTCCAAGGTCCGAGCCTTTAGCAAAACGCTCCCCACACTCTCCGCATTTGTAAGGCCTCAGTCCAGGGTGGCTCCGGAGATGTTTGGCAAAGCTCCACATTCCAGGAAAGGAGTTCCCACATAGAAAACACAGGTGGGATCCATTCCCCTTATGCAGCATCCGGTGGATCAAAAGGAGGGACTGGTAAGTAAAGTATTTCCTGCACTCGGAGCATCTGGAGAGTTTCCCCTGATTCCTCTGAGGGGACCTTTGGTCAAAGTGTTCCCCCCTCTGCATAGTTTCCAGGGGCAGCTCACTTCCAGGGCTTTCCATCATGGGAAACTCGAACAAGCAGAACTTTGGCCAAAAGGTTGGAAGATGGGCAGGAGGATGGGCTCCAGCACGAGTACGAAAGCTCAGAAGATGAAACCTCTGGTCCAGTGACTGACCCAGATTGGATCCTGCAAGCAGAACTTTGTCCAAAGGGTTTCTTGGTGGCACCTGCAGGATGAAGATAAAAGAAGAGAAGGAGAGAGGAAGATTTATTTTCTTCAGCTCTCCAAACAGCCCAAAGAATAGCTGGAAGACCCCCTATATGAACCCTGGAGGGGCTCCCAAAGCCTCTTTTCCCTCCCTTCAGGATCAAAGCCATGCTGGGATCCTCCCTGTTGAGCTAACCTTCCCTTCCCTTTTCTTAGCATGATGAGAGGGATGGCTGACAGAGTCCCCGTTGCTGCCCATTTGCCTGCCTGAAGTGGGGACGATCCCTGCCTTTTCCTTTTGCTCGGGTGGGGGGGGGCGGTGATAGTACATGATATGAGACAAACTGCAAAGAGCACACCATAGGATTTACATGTGCCAGGTATAGCTAATTGTGTACAGAGTACAACCGATGTAGCTGTTTATGGACGCTGTTCTTTGGGCCAGCACAGATTGAATATGTCTTCCTCCTGGAATGGCCTCCTAGTGTTGCTTTATAGATTAGGGAAGATGCAAATCCATTGATTGGGACCAGCAATACAGTTTGAACACAATAGGGAAGAAATAGGTTCCATTAAAAACCTGTCCCTATATATGAACCTAAAGAGAAAGACCGATGGAAGTGTAAAAAGAGAGCACCCACCCTTCTCCTAGAAGAATGAAATATTCTAGGATCGTGATGGCGAACCTATGGCACGGGTGCTACACGTGGCACATGAAGCCATATCTGTGGGCACGTGAGTGTTGCCATAGCTCAGCTCCAGTACACATGCATGCGCTGGCCAGGTGATTTTGGGGCCTTCTGGTCCCACCGGAAGTTGGGAAATGGGCTGTTTCCAGCCTCCAGAGGGCCTCCTGGGGGTGGGGAAGGCTGTTTTTGCCCTCCCCAGGCTCCTAGAAAGCATCTGGAGCCTGGGGAGGGTGAAAAACGGGCCTACTATGCCCATCATGTCATTGCGTGCTAAAAGCAGGGGGACTTGGGGGGGGGGTCACACGGGCATGCATGGGGTGCATTGAATTATGGGTGTGGGCACATACATGGGCGACCTCCACGCACTCCCCCCGCTTTTGGCACGCAACGGCAAAAAGGTTAGCCATCACTGTTCTAGGAAATATTAAAAAGGTAGAATATTATACCTCCCTGGATGAGAAAAGGAGAAACATGCTCTTGGAAAGCAGCTCCCACCTTTGTTAATAGCCCCAGAAAGACTGGTGCCAACCTATGTACAAGACAAAAGACTGGGCCAGTCTATCTACAAAACAAAAGACCTTCACCCTCAGGACATAATAGGATTAACCCTCACTCAATGTCCAGGACAAAGCCATTAAGCCATAATAGGAATTGCCCAAAAACCCTTTCAGAACACAACCCTCTTCATTACATCATCACCCAGCAAGATTCAACCAAGTTTAGGACTCGACAACTTAGAAAGTTACCCCTGCATGGCCCCATGGGGAGTCTGACAACCAATCAGAATACCTGCCCTTACACAGAAACAGGAAGGTCCAAGGCAGGGCCCAAGAGAGGGTATAAATCTCTCTCTCTCTCTCTCTCTCTCTTCCATGTGCTCAATTGCCCAGGGCCTCAAACCAGGTGGTCCTGTCCACTATTAAACCATCTTTCCAAACAGCCTCCATGTTTCCAGTGTCTTTCTTCCCACTTGGAACTGAACCCAGACGGGCATTTCTTCCAACAATTTGGCACCCAAAGATGGGACTCCAATCTAACCTGACCAATGGACCTGGCCCAGGTAAGCTCCCTTGTCGGTAGCAGACCCACTGAGTCTGTGGGTGAGTTTTCCTGGACCTTGGCCATTTAGAACAAAGGTTTTAAAGGGGTTTTGAGCTCAAAGGCTGCTTGGAAAGAAGGTGAGTACCTCTAAATTTTAACTTTAAAGCCCAGAAAAGCATGGGAAATGCATGTGTGTGAGGGAGAGGACCCATCTCCCAATCACAGCTGGATCTCGCTCCCTCTGTGCCTTTCCTAACCGCAGAAAGACTAACAGAGTCTGGAGAGCATGGAGGATTTGCCAGAGAACAGCACCTGTAGGGAAAAGGGCAGGGGTGAAATGCTTCCGATTCGGACCAGATCACTCGATCCGGTAGCGATGGCAGCGGGTGATTCGGAGAACTGGTAGCAAAAATCCTTGCCCCCCTCCCATGCCCAGCTGAGCCGCGCAATCATCAGAGGCTTTTTTTTTTTTTTACTTTTAAAAGGATTTTTTTCTAAAATCGTGCGGCTCAGCTGGGATCGTCAGAGCCTTTTAAAAGCATTTGTTTACAACCTCTTCAGCCGAAGAGGTTGTAGAAAAATTGCTTTTAAAAGTTAAAAAAAAAAAAAAGTTGGTCACGCTCACCCAGTCACATTAACCCCCCCCCCCACCAAGCCACACCCACAGAACCAGTAGTAACAAATCTTACATTTCACCACTGGAAAAGGGAGAGACGGTGTGAAATGGAATGGAAAAGTGAATGAGAGTGTTGAACCAGCTGGGAAGTCACTGAGCAAAGAAAGCCCCGTGTTAGGAGGTGCAGGTACTCGTCTGCTTAGGAAAAGCAGATCCTCCCAGACCCCCAAGGGTCTGAAAACTGATAGGCTGTGTGTGAAGTTTCCGAAAGATGCCCTAATTAATTCATGAGCCATGAGCTGAACTTCAAAAGAAATACAATCATTTATTAGGAGCACCATTTCGGCAATCTTCGGATGCAGTTAGAACTAATCCCACGTAGATTTACGTTCCCCTATGACCCTGTCTCTCCCCTCCTCTCTGGCCATGTCATAAATCACATTCTCCAATTAACCACTTTGGCTGGCTGTGAAATCCAACACCCTCCTTCTGATTGCGGTCAGGAAGAATGTATGGAATGTAGCTTCAGTTAGGGAAATCAATCAGCTCTATCAGTTCTCCCTCCCTCCTGCTCATGGCAACTTGAAAGCTTTGCAAGTTGACATTGTGTTTTAGGAGGTGCCCGTACTTGTCTGCGTAGGGGGCAGCAGGTCCTCCCGGATCGCTTTTTCTTTTTGGTCCGAAAACTGATAGTCTGTGTTCCTTGGAAAGGAGGTGCCCGTACTCTGTGAGGGAACCAATTCAATTCAAATCTTTATTGTCAGTGCACAACATATGTGCAATGAGATTGGTTGAGCTCCCGCAGTGCACCCCCCACAACACAATACAACTCACAGTGAAGACAGAAAATCCCTAACCCAATAAATCATGCTAACAAAACACCCAGTCCTATTGCACCAGTGTGAACATGTTACACATTGCGCCGGCCCTGCAGTCCATCATACTACGTAGTTATTTCTCATTCAGGAGTCTGACAGCCCACAGATTAAAACTGTTCTTCAGCCTGTTTGTGCGGCTGGCACTATATCTCCTTCCCGATGGTCGAGTTCTCCCAGACTTTTTTTTTTTGTCTGAAAATTGACGGCTGTGGCCCAGCTAAGCCAAAGTGAACCCCACATCTGAGAGGGAACATGGGAAGCTGTAACTCGAGAGTAGTGACAGGAACCCTCCTAGGAGATTTAGGAAAAAGATGTGAGCAAATTGTGTAAAGAGTGGGCTTTGCTCAGGGACAAGACGAAGCTGGAAAACCAATTTGGCTAAATAAAGGTACCGTATTTTTCGGAGTATAAGACGCACTGGAGTATAAGACACAGCTTAGTTTTTGGGGAGGAATATAGAGGGTGGGGGAAATCTGTCTACCAGGTATTCATTTGGCTAGCGTCCTTAGTCTGGTCAAATTCAGCACATTAGTTTGCTGGTTTTGAGCCCGTGCACGCGCTTTTTATCCCCTACTTGGGGATAAAAAACAGTTTCTAAAGCACAGCTGAGAGGGAGCAGCAATGAGATAAGCAGGAAAAGCATGGAGACCACTTCACTCACTAGCGCCTAGTTAGGACTGAATCTGAAAAGAGCGGATCGTGGTTCCCATTTTCAAGAAAGGGGGAAAAAAAAAGAGAAATCCAGAAAATTATAAGCCAATGAGCCCAACATCAATACCTGGAAAGATCCTGGAAAAGATAATAAAAACACAGATCTGCAAACATCTAGAAACAAAGTTGTAATTAAAAGCCATTATGGGTTGGTAAAAAACAGATCATGCCAAACCAATCTTATTTCGTTCTTTGACGAGAATGGCTGGTCTAGAGAAAAGAAGGATTGGGGGTGACATGATAGCTATTCCAGTATTTGAAGGGCTGCCACAACATTCCTATTTATATATTCCTCTTTTCTTTTAAGTACCGTATTTTTCAGAGTATAAGATGCACTCCCCCACCCCAAAAGGAGGCTGAAAATATGGTTGTGTCTGATACTTTGAATGTAGCTTTTTCAAGCTTTTTTTTCCAGCCCTAACAAGGCATTAGTTTTCTGTGCACTTTACTTGCTTCCCCCGACTCTCAGCTGTGCTTCAGAAAAGGAGGTCAAGCTATTCTCCAAAGCACCAGAAGGCAGGACAAGAAATGGATGGAAACAAAGGCGAGAAGCAACCTGGAATTCAGGAGAAACTTCCTCACAGAGAGGAGAGTTAATGAGTGCAGCAACTGGTCTGCAGAAGTTGTGGCTGCTCCTACACTGGAGGCTTTTAGGCAAAGAAAGGAAATGGCAGAGGGTCTCCTGCTTGAGCAGAGGGCTGGACTAGAAGACCTCCAAGGTCCCTTCCTGCCCTATTCTGATAAATAAAATCCACCAAAGAGGGGCTCCCACATCACAGCCTCCTTCAGAGCAAAACTAGGCAAATAATGGATTTTTTTTCCTACTCACCTTTGTAGAAAGAAAAGTAAGTAATTGAAATACTAACATAAAAGCAAAGAACATCAATTCTTCTCCATTTAGGTGACAGGGAAAGAAAGTGGATCTTTTCTCCCTTGGGAGGAAATGAGCTCAATTCAAGCCATTTAACCTTTTTCCCCCCCCAATAAAGAAAACCCTCCACCCCCGATTGAAGGGAGGAGGCGGCTATTTCCTGCATGGATCCCATAATCCCCCCTGAGACCCTGGAAAGAGAAGCCCCGCCCTTTGCCCTCCGTGGGGCGGGGCTTCCTCTCCCCCCGCCCCCTTTGCCCAGAGGCTCCCCGTCCAGCCCCGCCTCCACCCGGGACCCTCCTGGCACCCCTGGCTCAGCGGGCACTCAGCGGGGCGACCTTCCTCCGGGCAGCCCCAGGGAGAGCGGGAGCCCCACCTGCCCGGAGCGGGGCCGAGGAGCAGCCTTGCCGGACAGCCAAGAATTCGCCCAGCCGCAAGTGGGGAAACCACAGAGAGGGAGGAAGAACGACAGGAGATTCCTAGAGAGGCCCCACGGAGGCTTCTCCCCGCCTTTTCCGGACCGGCTTCCGCCTTGGGAGAGTGAGGGAGACGCTCTATCCCCTCCTTTATCTTCTCTCCCGGGACCGATTACAGTTTCGGGGCCCTTGGTTGGGCAAGTTTACAGAATAAGAGAGTTGGAAGGGAGCTTGAAGGTCTTCTAGCCCAACCAAGCGATCCTATCATTCCAGAGAAGTGACTGCCTGGTCTCTTCTTAAAACTCTCCAGTGATGGAGCACTCACACCTTTTAGAGGGAAGCCGTTGCAGCGATCAATAGTTCTGTTAGGAAATTCTCCTTAGTTCTAGGCTGCATCTCCCCTTGATTAGTTTCCAGCCATTGCTTCTTGTTCAGCCTTCAGGTGCTTTGGAAAGTAGGTTGTCCCCCTGATCTTTGCAACAGGTTCCCAAATATTGGAAATCTGCCATCCTTTCACTCCTGCTCCTTCTCTTCCTACGAGACATAACCAGTTGTTGCGACCTTTCCTCTTATGCTGTAGCCTCCAGTCCCCTACTTATCTTTCCTGTTCTTCCCTGCACCCTTTCTAGGCTCAACATCTTTTTTCCATCTTGATACAAAATACACAAAACCCCAAAGATGAACTTCAGCCCAATCTAGAATGTTTAAAGAAGTTCATGAATTAAATGGTTTGAAACGTTTGGACGATTGCAAAGAAACCCCCAGGGGTAGGACCTAAATTTTATGTGACTTTGCCTTGCCTGTTTTGGAAAGAAAAATGATATTGGAGTCAAGATGGATATCAGCCCTTCAAGAGGGGCTGAATCAGGAAAGAAAACCCAGAAGAGTTCTAGAATTCTTACTTTATTGATATAGGCTAGATTGACAGAATCTGAAGATCAGAATGATGGTAGCCATGATATTCACTGTGACATTCTACGGAAGAGAAAGTTGGACAAAACAAGGAGGATAGGAAGAGCGTGACAGTTTTTGAACATTAATTTTGAAGAACACCACCAAGATTATGATAGATAGGAAGTAAATGACATGTCCATCATCGGCACATAGTTTAGTTTCAGTTTCTCTGACAGTCTGTGGTTCAATTCCAAATGTCATTTTGCCCATTTTAAATCTCTCAGCTCTGCATATGAAAATTATGAAATAATCGCTCTGCAGTTGATCTCTCAACTTCACCTTTATTCTCTGTGTTCTGTGCAGACTCATAAAGACGTTTTGTATCCCTTCCATAAGGCACTGCAAATATGTTTTTTTAAAAGTCTACTGTCTAGTTTTCCTTCTACTGGGAAACCACTCTTGGATTTGCTTGTAATTGAAAGAAATGAAGTTTAAACCTTGGGTTTTTATGTTTGTACATATTTATAACGTTAAACGTACTGGTTATGGTTTATTCTAATTCAAAGAGTTATTGATACTTAGGATTTTACCTGTAGTGAAGAAAGCTGGAAATTATTTTTCTGTTTAGCTTTCCCCCCCTTTTGTCTGCACACTCCAATTTTGCTTTTCCCTCCCTCCCCCTTGCTTTTTTTTTTCAGTTCTCCTTGGTTTTCTTGTACTTTGTTTTCCTAAAATTTAACAAAGTTTGTAAACTTTTTATGATTTTCAGGGGTTGATCCACTATGGAAAACTGTTCCACCATGAGAGCATAGTGGGCGTTTTCCCATGTGATTTCTCTAATGTGTCGCTTTTGAGCAAAACTTTATCGCACTCTGCATCTCTATGGCTTCATTCCTCTATGGATCTTTTGATGAATTATAAGGTTTCGTTTTCAGGTAAAACCTTTCCCACACTCCCCACATTTATAGAGCCTCTTCCCTGTGTGCCCCTTCTGGGGTCTCCGAAGTTGAGCAGACTCTCCAAATCTTTTCTCATGTTGTGAGCATTCATAGGTTCTGTCTACAGTGTGAAGTTTCTGATGTCGAATTAGGTGTGACTTGTAGCCAAAACATGTCCCACATTCTGGGCGCTGACAGGGTCTTTCTCCGGTGTGAAGTCTCTGATGTTGAATTAGGTGTGACTTTCTGGCAAAACACCTCCCACATTCTAGGCAGATTTCATTTTTCTGCACACGCACTTGCTTTTAAGGCTTCTCTCCTTTGTGAAGCCTCTCATATTTTCTAAGATAAGATTTGCAAGGAAAAGTTTTCTCACATTCCGGTCATTTATATTGCTTCTCTAAGTGTCTTCTCTGATGCAACACAAGTGTATCTTTCCGGGTAAAAGATTTCTCACACACTGAGCATTTGTGGAGTTTCTCACCCGTATGGGTTTGGCAGTGAACTCTAAGGGATGATGAAGAAGCAAATGTTTTCCCACAGTCTAAACATTTTAACTTTTCCCCCCCTCTGTGAACATTCTCATGACTTCTGAGGCTTTGTATTGTACGGAAAAATCTTCCACACTCGATGCACATATAGGGCTTCACCCCTGTATGGATACTTTGATGTTGAAAAAGAGTTTCCTTAACAGAAAAATATTTATCACAATCCTTACATTTATATAGTTTTTCTCCCCTGTGTATCCTTTGGTGTCTCTGAAGTTCAGAAGAATCGACAAATCTTTTCTCACATTCTGGACATTCATGGGGTTTTTCTCCAGTGTGTCGTCTCTGATGTCGAAATAGGTTTGACTTCTGGCCAAAACATCTCCCGCATTCTGGGCACTGATAGGGTCTTTCCCCCGTGTGGATTCTCTGATGAGCCTGAACCAGTGTTGCCGTGAGAAATCTTTTTTCACATTCCCCACATTTATAGGGCAACTCTCCTGTGTGCTTCTTCTGATGTCTCCGAAGTTCAGAAGAAACCACAAATCGTTTCTCACATACTGGACATTGATAAGGTCTATCCCCAGTGTGAAGTCTCTGATGTGGAATTAGGTGTGCCTTTTGGGAAAAATATTTTCCACATTCTGGGCACTGAAAGGGTCTTTCTCCGGTGTGAACTCTCTGATGTTGCAGTAGGTATGATTTCCTAGAAAAACATTTCCCACATTCTAGGCACGTTTTGCTTTCTTCCTTTATGTGTGTTTTATTATGTTGGCAAAGAGTTGAACTCCGAGTGAAACATTTTCCACACTCAAAGCATTTATAAGGGCTCTGTCCTTTGTGAATTTTCCCATGTTTTCTAAAACATTGTTTATAACGGAAAGATTTCCCACACTCTAGACATTGATAAGGTTTCCCTCTGGTGTGGATTTGCTGATGTTTAAGCAGCTGTGAGGTTTGAGAAAAGCACAGCCCACATTGCACACACTTGCAGGGCTTCTCTTCAGTCGGGCTGTTCTGAGGCCTAAAAAGACGCCGTCTCTCAGGAAATCTTCCCCAGCGCTTCCAGGATTCCTGAGATCTCTTTCCCTGGTGGATTCGCTGATGGGCTCCAAGGTCCGAACCTTTAGCAAAACGCTCCCCACACTCTCCGCATTTGTAAGGCTTCAGTCCAGGGTGGCTCCGGAGATGTTTGGCAAAGCTCCACATTCCAGAAAAGGATTTCCCACATAGAAAACACAGGTGGGATCCATTCCCTGTATGCAGCTTCCGGTGGATCAAAAGGAGGGACTGGTGAGCAAAGGATTTCCCACACTCAGAGCATTTGGAGAGTTTCCCTTGATTCCTCTGAGGGGACCTTTGGCCAAAGTGTTTCCCCCTCTTCATAGTTTCCAGGGGCTGCTCACTTCCACGGCTTTCCATCCAAGGAAACTCTAACAAGCAAAACTTTGGCCAAAAGGTTGGAAGATGGGCAGGAGGATGGGCTCCAGCACGAGTCCAAAAGCTCAGAAGACGAAACCTCTGGTCCCCGTGACTGACCCAGATTCGATCCTGCAAGCAGAACTTCCTCCAAAGGTTTTCCTGGTGGCACCTGCAGGATGAAGATAAAAGAAGTGAAGGAGAGAGGAAGATTTATTTTCTTCAGCTCTCCAAATAGCCTAAAGAATAGCTGGAAGACCCTCTCTATGAACCCTAGAGGGGCCCCCAAAGCCTCTATTCCATCTCCGTAGAATCAAAGCAATGCTGGAATCCTGTTCCTCCCCATTTGCCTGCCTGATCTGGGGATGATCCCTGCCTTTTCCTTTTGCTCAGAAGGGGGGCACAATGATGCTACAGTATGCACGACAAACTGCAACGATCCCCCATAGGATTTGTATGTGCCAGGTAGATCTAATTATGTACAGAGTTCAACCTATGTAGCTGTTCATGGACACTGTTCTTTGGGCCAGCACAGATTGAATATGTCTCCCTCCTAGACTGGCTTCCTATTGTTTGCTTTATAGTTTAGGGAAGATGCAAATACATTGATTGGGGCCAGCAATGCAGTTTGAACAAAATAGGGAAGAAACAGCTTCCATTTAAAAATATTGACCCTATACGTATATGAACCTAAAGAGGAAAACGGATGGAAGCCTGTCTGTTTTAGAAGAAAACAACAACAGAGAGCAAAACCCATTCTATGTATCCTACTCCACTCCAATGAAGCCCCTCTGGAACCGAACAATCATTTTCATGTTCTCCCCCTGGAAGGGAATACGCAGTCACCCACAAAAGAGCAGTCTTCAATAGTTTCTAAAAAAGAGGCAAAACCCAGCATCTCTGCAACAAGATGAAAATATCCCACAATTTCCTAGGCAAAAAAGGCAAGTTTCCGTGACAGGCGATTCAATTCTTAGAGGAACAGAAACTATAGTCTGCAGAGCAGCTAGTCAATCTAGGCAGGAATGTTATCTCCCTGAAGCAAAAATCAAAGTTTCAAAAGAAATCATCAAACCCATGGAGTACTACTACCCCTTTCTTCTCCTCCACGTGGAGACCAATGACACAACAATGAATCTGAAAAAAGCAGATCGTGGTTCCCATTTTCAAGAAAGGGGGAAAAAAAAAGAGACCAGGGAAACTACAAACCAATCAGCCCAACATCAATACGCATTGTAAGCCGCCCTGAGTCTCCGGAGAAGGGCGGCATATAAATCAAATTAAAAAATAAAAAATAAATACCTGGGAAGACCCCGGAAAAGATAATAAAAAGATCTGCATACATCTAGAGACAACGTTATAATTAAAAGCCATTATGGGTTTGTTAAAAACAGATCATGTGATTAAGGGATCCTTGATATCCTAGCTGTTAGGTGCTCCTTTTGGACCTGAGTTGTCTTGTAGGGACAACGAGCAAGGGGAGCACACTCTGTGGATTTCAGGGAACCTGCAAATTCCCTGATAAGAGCCAGAGAAGCTCCTTAAACAGACGGTTGGTTATTACCTTTAAAGCCCTACATGACTCAGGGCCAGGGTATCTTCGAGACCGCCTTCTACCACATAGCTCCCAGCGACCGGTAAGATCCCACAGAGTTGGTTTCTTCCAGGTCCCGTCAGCTAAACAATGCCGGCTGGCGGACCCGCGGGGGAGGGCCTTCTCTGTGGCTGCCCCAGGTCTCTGGAACCAGTTACCTCCTGAGGTCCGGACCACCCCCCACCCTATTGGCCTTCCGAAAAGCGGTGAAGACCTGGCTTTTCCGGCAGGACTGGGGCCATTGATCTCGCTCTTGTGAGATCTGGCCATGAATGGTTTGAATGGGTTTTAATGTTTTAATTTTTAAATGTTTTTATAATGTTTTTTTTTTTTTTAAATACATTGTAAGCCGCCCTGAGTCCGGAGAAAGGCGGCATATAAATTGAACTAATAATAATAATAATAATAATAATAATAATAATAATAATAATAATAATAATAATAATATAAATTGAACTAACAACAACAACAACAACAACATAACAGTAGTTGAAAAGAAAAAAGTATGGTTCATTGACATTGCAATACCTGGTGATGCACAGATTGAAGATAAGCAGCAAGAAAAAAATCACAAAGTACTGGGACTTGCAAACTGAAGTTGAGCGAATGTGGAAAAAGAAATTGTGTGTTGTCCTGATTGTAATTGGAGCCCTTGGAGCAATACCCAAAGGGCTACCCTGCTATTTAGAAATTCTAAATTTACCAGACTTGAACATTTGGACTCTACAAAAAACCACCTTACTCGGAACAGCTTACATCCTCCGACGATACCTTAACAGTTCCTAGGTCCTTGGTTAGGACTCGAGCTGCTGAGCTATTAACCAGCCTCAAAGGCTGTGAATCTCACTAAAGATTAACTAATAATAATAATAATAACAACAACCACCATTGTTGAGTCGCTACAAAGCTGGGGCAGCCACTGCAGAGCGTGGAAGCGAAAGGAAAGTGTGATCTGTCTGGATGAGATATTTTGAATATTTGTTTACTACCTATTAAACTGGATTAAAGAAGAACCTCCTTGGAACAGCAGAGGAGACCTCAAAGGAGGAGGTGGAATTGGCTGTTTTACCTATTCTACCCCCAGAAGAATGGTGGCATGGAAGGCGAGTGGGGCCAAGAAAATAAAGGAATAAGAGAAAAATTGACTTATGAAGATTGGTCTGAAGAATAAAAGTCTGAATCCGGGCTGGATACTTCCCATTTTTAAATTGGGGATTATTGATCAGGGCCAACATCAATAACGCGCTCCGGGCAACTCCAGTCATGCCAGCCATACTGGACGCTGCCCAGAGTAGAGGTGGGCAGCCCATAGGAGCCTGAGTGGCGTAGGAGGCTAATGCCTCCTATTAAGGCAGCATTTAACATCCAGCTGCCTGCAATTACTGCGAGTTCAAATCTCACCAGGCTTCAAGGTCGACTCAGCCTTCCATCGTTTCTAAGGTGGGTAAGGAGATAAGGAGAATCCAAGACCTCAGTGCCTTCCGCCGTGCCCTTAAAACCTTCCTTTTCCAGCAAGCCGGGCTGGCCTAATTTTTTTAAGTGTTTTTAAGTGTTTTGTTTATTGTTTTTAATTAATGGGGCCAAATTTATATATATATATATATTAACTGTATTTTAATATTTGTACTTGATGTTTTTACTTGGCTGTTCACCGCCCTGAGTCCTCAGGGAGAAGGGCGGTATACAAATTCAAAATAAAATAAAATAAATAAAAATAAAATAAATTGAGGACCTGGTTTGTGGGGGAAATAAGCTGACTTTGTATAAAATATACAAAAGTATGAAGGCTATTGCTTAACACTTTGTATGCTGCCCTGAGACTACGGAGAAGGGCGGCATATAAATATGTATGTATGTATGTATGTATGTATGTGTATATAGATAGATAGATAGATAGATAGATAGATAGATAGATAGATAGATAGATAGAGATAGATAGATAGATAGATAGATAGATAGATATAAAAATTCGTGTCGGGGAAGGTGGACGTAACTTCTTCCAAGGGAGGAGGACCTTACCGTTGACCGCAGCTGCTCTATGGGTGAGGAGCTGCGCTCTCCTCCGGTCCTCCTGGGGGGGGCTCAGCTCAGCTCCCCCCAACGGTGACTTCTTCTCCTGGCTGCTCCAGGGGAAGCCTCTGCCTCTTAGCCGGCGCGAACGGCTTGCCGCTGCCTCCTGCTGCTGCCCTGCTGGCTGCTCCGCCCAAAACGCCGCAAGTGGGGGAAAAAGGGCAACAAAACTCCCCGAAATTCAGCTCCTGCAGACGTGGGGGGAGGGACAACGAGAAGAGCTTCCCAGAGCGGCCTCTCGGAGGCTTCTCCTTTTCCGGCCCTGTTTCCTCTCTGAGAGGGGGGGAGACGTTCTATCCCCTCTTTCCTCTCCTCTGCAGTTTCAGAGCCTGGGAAGCGCCGCTTCTGCGCAGTAGAAAGAGGGGGGGAGGAGGGATGAGATAGGGAGCGTCTGCCGAGGCCAAAGATGATGGATGTGGGACGTGGCTTCCCCACAGGGACACAGACCGACATTAAACTAGGATTGCCTTTCAGCCAAGCCCTCCATTCATTGCTGGCCGGCCGGTCTCCCTGCAGCAGAGGCAGCCCTGGAAACCCCCCTCCTCCTCCCACTTAGGTGCAAAGGGCGAGAGTTTAATTCCCTGCCTTCCTTGCCTTTGAGCCCTTCCCGAGCAGCTCCGTCCCCACTCGGGGGCTCCTCTTCCCACGTGCGTTTGAGCTGAACTGGAGAACTGGCAGGTGGAAAGAGCAAGTGGATGGAGCCACGTGACGCCAGAGATTGCACGGAATGGCTCTTCGCCACTTGTAGCAAATAAGCTACAATTTTCTAAATAAGCTAAATGGCTATTCGCCACTTGTAGCAAATAATTTGCAATTTTCCTTTATTGTGCCCCTCAGAGCATCAGGAAAGAACATCCCAAGAAATCTCTTTTAGTTTAGTTCTAGGCTGCATCTCCCCTTGATTAGTTTCCAGCCATTGCTTCTTGTTCAGCCTTCAGGTGCTTTGGAAAGTAGGTTGTCCCCCTGATCTTTGCAACAGGTTCCCAAATATTGGAAATCTGCCATCCTTTCACTCCTGCTCCTTCTCTTCCTACAACGAGACATAACCAGTTGTTGCGACCTTTCCTCTTATGCTGTAGCCTCCAGTCCCCTACTTATCTTTCCTGTTCTTCCCTGCACCCTTTTTAGGCTCAACATCTTTTTTTGTATCGTGATACAAAATGTACAAAACCCCAAAGATGAACTTCAGCCCAATCTAGAATGTTTAAAGAAGTTCATGAATTAAATGGTTTGAAACGCTTGGACGGTTGCAAAGAAACCCCCAGGGGTAGGACCTAAATTTAATGTGACTTTGCCTTGCCTGTTTTGGAAAGAAAAATATCAGGATCAAGACGGATATCAGCTGTTCAAGAGAGGCTGAATCAGGAAAGAAAACCCAGAAGAGTTCTAGAATTCTTACTTTATTGATATAGGCTAGATTGACAGAATCTGAAGATCAGAATGATGGTAGCCATGATATTCACTGTGACATTCTACGGAAAACAAAGTTGGACAAAACAAGGAGGATAGGAAGAGCGTGACAGTTTTTGAACATTAATTTTGAAGAACACCACCGAGATTATGATAGATAGGAAGTAAATGACATGCCCATCATCTGCACATAGTTTAGTTTCAGTTTCTCTGACAGTCTGTGGTTCTATTCCAAATGTCATTTTGCCTGTTTTAAATCTTTCTCTTAGCTCTGCATATGAAAATTATGAAACACTCAATCTCTCTGCAGTTGATCTCTGAACTTCAATTTTATTGTCCATGTTCTGTGCCAAGACTCACAAAGGCATTTTTGCATCCCTTCCATAATGCACTTCGAACACTGTTTTTTAAGTCTTCATTAACTTTTATTGTATCATAAAAAAACATGCTATCCAAGCCTCAAGTCAGCTCTTCTTTTCTGAATGGGAGACCAGAACTTTGGGGAGGGGGGAGAGATGGTGGGAGAGAAAGATGGGCCTCTCCTATCATTTAGGTGCACCGAAAAGAGAAGACAATTTCCATGAGATCCTTTACCGTAGGAGCCTGAGCAGACCTCCTTGAATTTCCAGTTGAACCAGAAGCTTTTCTTCAAGATTTGATAGAGTGAAGAAACTGTGGAACTTTATTTTATATATGACAACAGCTGCAAAGCTCTCTTCACACAGAGATGAAAGGACTCACATATACCCAGAATGGAAGAATGGATGGGGAAGTTGAGTGCTTGGTTAAAGAAAACTTTGTCTAGATTTCCTTCTACTTGGAAACCACTCTTGGATTTGCTTGTAATTAAAAGAAATGAAATTTAAACCTTGAGTTTTTATGTGTCTACATGTTTATAATGATAAATGTAGTTTGTTATGGTTTATTCTAATCCAAAGAGTTATTGATACTTAGGATTTTACCTGTAGTGAAGAAAGTTGGAAGTTACTTTTTCTCTTTAGCTTTTTCCCCTTTTTGTCTACATTCTCCAATTTTGCTTTTCCCTCCCTCCCCCTTCTTCACTTTTTCCTCCTTGGTTTTCTTGTACTTTGTTTTTCTAAAATTTAACAACATTTACAACATTTTATATGATTTTCAAGGGTTGATCCACTATGCAAAACTGTTCCACCATGAGGGCATAGTGGGCGTTTTCCCATGTGATTTCTCTGATGTGTCATTTTTGAGCAAAACTTTATCGCACTCTATGCATCTCTATGGCTTCATTCCTGTTTGGACCTTTTGATGATTTCTAAGGTTTTGTTTTCGAGTAAATCTTTTCCCACACTTACATTTATTGAGCTTCGTCCCCGTGTGCATTCCCTGATGAACGCGTAGCTGTGTTGCCATGATAAAACATTTCCTACACTCCTCACATTTATAGGACCTCTCTCCTGTGTGTCCCTTCATGGGTCTCCGACGTTGAGCAGACTCCACAAATCTTTTCTCACATTCTGGGCATTGATAGGGTCTGTCTCCAGTGTAAAGTCTCTGATGTCGAATTAGGTGTGACTTTTCAACAAAACATCTCCACATTCTTTTAACTTCACCTTGTATTCTCCATGTTTCTGTTTTAAGAACTGTCAATTTATCATCTATATGTAGTCATCTACTTACAACCACCATTGAGCCCAAAATGTCTGTTAAGTGAAACACTTAAGTGAATTTTCCCCATTTTACGACCTTTCTTCCCATAGTTGTTAAGTGAATCACTGCAGTTGTATAGCTGGACACATGGTTTTTAAATGAATCTGGCTTCTCCCTTGACTTTGCTTGTGAAAAGGTCGCAAAAGGGGATCAGTTGACTCTGGAACACTGCAACCGTCAGAACTGTGAGTCAGTGGCCAAGGATCTGAATTTTGATCACGTGACCATGGGGATGCTGAGAAATGGTCATAAGTCACTTTTTTCAGTGCCATTGTAACTTCGAACGGTCACTAAATGAACTGTTTTTTGAGTCGACTACCCGTATTGACAAATTGTTGGGGAAAAGCGGTTCAAAGAAATGAGACAAAAAGTGTAAGACATCAGGATATTACACTGTATCCATTTATTGTGGTCTAGTCTTTCTTTTCCATAAAACGCTTCTTGTGCCGAGACCCACAAAGTCGTTTTTGGGCCCTTCCTATGTTTGCATCGTCGAAACTGAACCATAAAAAAGCATATGTCAGCTTTGGAAGCCATATTAAGCCGGAAGCTTCCATGCTGCCGCCACCTCATGCTTGGGAAAGTAGGAGGGGGGATTTAGTAGAGGGGTTGTCTTTAGACATAATAGCATTCTTCCTGTCGGTCAAGATCAGGCCGATCCTACTACTGTTAATCTTCTCATCGTCCCCACCACCCGTCTCCTTCCACTTATGAGTGGATGACTGCAATGTTGTTGCTTGTATCCCTATGATTTATGTTGATATTGTTTGCTGATTGCTTATTTGTACCCTATGACTATCATTAAGTATTGTACCTTATGATTCTTGATGAATGTATCTTTTCTTTTATGTACGCTGAGAGCGTATGCACCAAGACAAATTCCTTGTGTGTCCAATCACACTTGGCCAATAAAGAATTCTATTCTATTCTATTCTATTCTATTCTATTCTATTCTATTCTATTCTATTCTATTCTATTCTATTCTATTCTATTCCATTCCATTCCATTCCATTCCATTCCATTCCATTCCATTCCATTCCATTCCATTCCATTCCATTCTTCTATTCTATTCTATTCTATTCTATTCTATTCTATTCTATTCTATTCCGCATCTGGAGAAGGAGTGGTCAGAGTGATGTCTCGAGATGGGACAGTGATTGGAGCATGTGATCGACTGAGGAGTGAGGGGATGGTTTTGGGGATTTTGATTTACTGAGGGAAAACCCGGACGTCTCAGATACGGGGTTTACCCAGATGTGCCAGTTTACCTATTCTAGTAAATAGAACTTTGAAAAATGCTTGCTTCAGAGTGGGTTTTTTTTCCTGGAACGCTGACAGCATACCCTTCCCATTTTAAAATCCTCTTATTTCTCAGCAACACTCACTCTTTCATCCAAAGCAGCAAACAGGCTGCAAAGTACAATTTTTAATGTAATTAGGCAACCCTAATTATCCTCTTTCTCTTTGATCTTGAACAGTTTTAAATTAAACTCTTGGTTTTTCTCCTGCCATATTTGTTGTTGTTGTTAGTTGCGATGTTTTGTCCCACCCATTGCGACCCCATGGACAACGTTCCTCCAGGCCTTCCTGTCCTCTATCATCCTCTGGAGTCCATTTAAGCTCATGCCGACTGCTTCAGTGACTCCATCCAGCCACCTCGTTCTCTGTCGCCCCATTCTTCTTTTGCCCTCAATCTTTCCCAGCATTAGGCTCTTCTCCAGTGAGACCTTCCTTCTCATTAGGTGGCCAAAGTATTTGAGTTTCATCTTCAGGATCTGGCCTTCTAAAGAGCAGTCAGGGTTGATCTCCTCTAGGACTGACCAGTTTGATTGCCTTGCAGTCCAAGGGACTCCTGCCAAAGAAACGTAGATATATCTTCCTGTCACTGGTTATGTGGCGCACCCATTGTCCGAATAGGTATTGTTTAAAACAGAAAAATCAGTCTACTAATATAGTTTCTTTTAATCATAGAACTTCTATAATCAATGACAATTGTATTTTTTTTCCCCATCTGAACACATCCTTTTCGATATAATTCCATGCCTTATCACAATTATTTTAACAGAAAATTTGTATTCTTTGTAACAATACCCAAATGTCTTATTTTTGTATTATTTCTTTTAAATCACTTTTCCCCATCAATTCTATTTTGTCTTCCGTTTTCCTATTTTGGTCAATTTCTTTGTTTATTAGTTATTGAATTGAAAACCAGCCAATGCACTAAAAATTCCATTATTGATTTCTTCCAAAAGATCTTTTAAACTTACCACAAGGTTTCAGCAGAAACCTTAGCAGAAACCTTTCCCTTTTTCTTTTTAAATTCTTAGAATCATAGGGCTAGAAACAAACAACCTACCCTCCAATAAACAATTTGGTTTCAGAAAAAAAATCCTGTAATCTACACTTCGACACTGCAAAAACATATGGACTACACAACTCGATCAGGGCAAAGCAACAGACACAATTTACATAGACTTCTGTAAAGCCTTTGATTCAGTGGTACACAACAAACTACTTCTAAAACTAAAATCCTAGGGCATTTCTGGACCCCAGATAATTGGATAGCTGTGTTCCTGTCAAACAGACAAGTGGTCAAAATAGGGAGCGCCCTATCAAATCCTGCACCTGTTAATAGCGGTGTTCCCCAAGGCAGCATTCTAGGACCAACAATCTTTATACTTTACATAGATGATCTTTGTGATCATATTATAAACAACTGCATTCTCTTCGCTGATAATGTAAAACTATTTAACACCACCGACAATGTTGCGATCCTTCAAAAAGACCTTGACTTTATGTCAGAATGGTCAAACAATTGGCAACTTCAAATCTCAACCAACAAATGTCTTACACATTGGCAAAAAGAATCAGAACACAAAATACAAACTGAGTGGACATGACCTTGTAGACGAGCCTCACTTTGTCGAGGACCTTGGAGTACTCATCTCTAATGATCTAAGTGCCAAAGCCCACTGTAACAACATCGCCGGAAAGGCATTAAAGAGTTGTTAATCTAATCTTGCGTAGCTGTTTGTCCGGTAATATTACACTACTAACCAGAGCATACAAAACATTTGCTAGACCAATTCTCGAATACAGCTCATCTGTCTGGAACCCACACTGCATATCGGACATTAATACAATTGAACGTGTCCAGAGGTATTTCACGAGAAGAGTCCTCCACTCCTTTGCTCGCAACATAATCCTTATGCCATCAGACTTGAAATTTTGGGCTTGGACAACTTTGAACTATGCCGCCTTCGGTATGACCTAAGCGTAGTTCATAAAATTATCTGCTACAATGTCCTACCTGTCAATGACTACTTCAGCTCCAACCACAACCATACATGAGCACACAATAGATACAAACTTAGAATAAACCACTCCAAACTCAATTGCAGAAAATATGACTTCAGCAACAGAGTGGTCAACACCTGGAATGCACTACCTGACTGTGTGGTTTCATCCCCAAACCCCCATAGCTTTAACATTAGACTGTCTACTTTTGACCTCACCCCATTCCTAAGAGGTCTGTAAGGGGTGCACATAACCACACCAGTGTGCCTTCCGTCCCTGTCCTAATGTTCCCTTTTATTCATATTCATATCATGTATTCAAATCATGTTTACACCTATATATGTTATTTAATACATGCTTGACAAAAATAAATAATAAAAAATAATAAAATAAAAAATAGAAGGGAGCTACCACAGAATAAGAGCTGTAGTCTTCTAGTCCTACCTTCCCTGCCCAAAGCAGGAGTCCTTATACGGTTCCAGACAATTTCACATTAAATATTAGAGTTTCAAACTCATATCAGATTTCCATATTCACGTCTTAGAATTAAAACCTAACCCTAACCACGTTTAACATGGCAAAGAAAATTTCCAAGGAAGCAATTTTAACGGACAAACTCCAGGAAGCAAGATCTTCCAATTGGCAAGGGAAAAGTATTCTCATGTTATACACCTGTAAGGTTTTTCTCGTGTGTGGATTTTTCATGTGCATCTGAAGATAAAAATCTTTGCCACATTCTAAGCCCTGATAGAAGTTTTTCTCCAGTAAAAATTCACTGATGCTGAAAGAGTATTTTTCCAGCCAAACCATACCTCACATTTCAAACATTTAAACTGCATCTTTCCTATATGGATTAGAGTGTGATTTTTAAGGGATGATTGACAAGAAAATGCTCTCCCACGATCATATGACTTCTAAGGCTTAAACAACTATGAAAAACTGTTCTACCATCAGGGTCTATTAGGACTTTTCCCATGTGATTTTTTTGATGTCTTGGTTTTGAGGAAAACATTACCACACTATGTGCATCTCTATGGCTTCACTCGCATATGGACCTTTTGAGGCTTTCCAAGGTTGTATTTTTGGGAAAAACCTTTCCCAACTCCACACATTTGTATGGCTTCTCCACTGTGTGGAGAACTCGAAGCAGTATCTCAAAGATCCTGGGGCTTCAGGGTTTGACACAGTGTTACTGTGAGAAAACTTTTCTCACACTCCCCACATTTACAGGGCCACCCTCCTGTGTGCCTCTCTTGATGTGTCCAAAGTTCAGAAGAATCCATAAATCTTTTCTCACATTCTGGGCACTGATAGGGTCTTTCTCCGGTGTGAACTCTCTGATGTTGAACTAGGGTTGACTTTGAGCTAAAACACCTCCCACATTCTCGGCACTTTTGATTGTTCTACACACGCTTCTCTTCTGTGTGAAGCATCTCATGTTTTCTAAGATAATATTTGCAATGAAAAGATTTCTCATTCTCCAGACATTTATATTGCTTCTCTAAGTGGATTCTCTGATGAACCTGAAGCAGTGTTGCTGTGAAAAAACTTTTCCCTCACTTCCCACATTTATAGGGCGACTTTCCTGTGTGCTTCTTCTGATGTCTCCGAAGTCCAGCAGACTCCACAAATCGTTTCTCACATTGTGGGCATTGATAGGGTGTGTCTCCAGTGTGAAGTCTCTGATGTCGAATCAGGTGTGACTTGTAGCCGAAAGATCTCCCACATTCTGGGCACTGATGGGGTCTTTCTCCGGTGTGACGTCTCTGATGTTGACCTAGGTTTGACTTGGAGCCAAAAAATTTCCCACATTCTGGGCACTGATAGGGTTTTTCCCCAGTGTGAATTCTCTGATGTTGAATTAGGTATGACTTTCTGGCAAAACATCTCCCGCATTTTGGGCACTTTTCATTTTTCTGCACACACTGGAAAGGCTTCTCTCCTTTGTGAAGCCTCTCATGTTTTCTAAGATAATATTTGCAATGAAAAGTTTTTTCACACTCCGGACATTTATATTTCTTCTCTAAGTGGATTCCCTGATGCTTCCGAAGTGTACCTTTCTGGGTGAAAGATTTCTCACACACTGAGCATTTGTAGCATTTCTCACCCGTATGAGTTTTGCAGTGAACTCTAAGGGTTGATGAACGACCAAATTCTTTCCCACATTCTAAACATTTGAACCTTTTTTCCCTCCTGTGAACATTCTCATGACTTCTGAGGTTTTGTATTGTACGGAAAAATCTTCCACATTCAATGCACATATAGGGCTTCACCCCTGTATGGATACTCTGATGTTCAGAAAGATTTGACATTTAAAAAAAACATTTATCACAGTCCTTACATTTATATAGGTTTTCTCCCCTGTGCGTCCTTTGGTGGCTCCGAAGATCAGAAGAAACCACAAAACTTTTCTCACATTCTGAGCATTGATAGGGTCTCTCCCCAGTGTGACATCTCTGATGTTGAATTAGGTTTGACTTCTGGCTAAAACATCTCCCACATTCTGGGCACTGATAGGGTTTTCCCCAGTGTGAATTCTCTGATGTTTCAGCAGGCATGATTTGCTGGAAAAAGTTTTCCCACATTCTAGGCACATTTTTCTTTTCTCCTTTGTGTGTGTTTTATTATGTTTCCAAAGAGATGAACTCCGAGTGAAACATTTTCCACACACAAAGCATTTATAAGGTCTCTGCCTTGTGTGAATTTTCTCATGTTTTCTAAATAATTGTTTATAATGGAAAGATTTCCCACACTCCAGACATTGATAGGGTTTCCCTCTGGTGTGGATTTGCTGATGTTTAAGCAGCTCTGAGTTTTGAAGAAAGCACAGCCCACATTGCACACACTTGCAGGGCTTCTCTTCAGCCTGGCTGTTCTGAGGCCTAGAAAGACGCCGTCTCTCAGGAAATCTTCCCCAGCTCTTCCTGGATTCCTGAGATCTCTTTTTCTGGTGGATTCGCTGATGAGCTCCAAGGTCCGAGCCTTTAGCAAAACGTTCCCCACACTCTCCGCATTTGTAAGGCTTCAGTCCAGGGTGGCTCCGGAGATGTTTGGCAAAGCTCCACATTCCAGGAAAGGAGTTTCCACATAGAAAACACAGGTGGGATCCATTCCCCTTATGCAGCATCCGGTGGATCAAAAGGAGGGACCAGTAAGCAAAGGATTTCCCGCATTCAGAACATTTGGAGTGTCTCCCTAGATTCCTCTGAGGGGACCTTTGGCCAAAGTGTTCCCCCCTCTGCATAGTTTCCAGGGGCTGCTCACTTCCAGGGCTTTCCATCAAAGGAAACTCGAACAAGTAGAAGTTTGGCCAAAAAGGTTGGAAGATGGGCAGGAGGATGGGCTCCAGCACGAGTACGAAAGCTCAGAAGACGAAACCTCTGGTCCCGGTGACTGACCCAGATTGGATCCTGCAAGCAGAACTTCCTCCAACGGTTTTCCTGCAGGATGAAGATAAAAGAAGTGAAGGAGAGAGAAATATTTATTTTCTTCAGCTCTCCAAACAGCCCAAAGAATAGCTGGAAGACCCCCTATATGAATCCTGGAGGGGCCCCCAAAGCCTCTATTCCCTCCCTTCAGGATCAAAGCCATGGTTGGATCCTCCCTGTTGAACTGACTTCCCCTTCCCTTTTCTTAGCATGATGAGAGGGATGGCTGACAAGAGTCCCTGTTGCCGCCTTTTCCACCCTGAGACACCGGCTGGGGCGCGTCTCCCCATATTCCTCTCGCTGCATCCATGGCTGCTTGGTGCTCTTGCCATTAAACTTAGCGCGCTGCACAATGGGGGAGACGGCGTCCCCTCCTCCTCCTCCTGGAGCCCATTAAAGCATGCAGCATCGGCTGGGGCGGCCCAGCCGGTGTCTTGACGCAGAGCAAAGTCACGTGTCTCCCAACAAGGGGCGGGAAAAGAGGCAAGAAGAGGGGTGCTTGGCTTCCACTCTGGAATACGAAGTGAGTCTCCATCCGCCTCTACCGCTCTTCTCTTCTCGGGGCAGGTGAGGGGGAGGGAAGGGCGAGGGGGGCAGCCAGGCAACAGGGAGCCACAGCCGGGGGACGAAAGAGCTTCATTTATCTGGGAACCTGAAATGACTCTTGATTTAAAATTAAAAAGCACCCAAAGAAGAAGAAAGAACAACATCAGAAATAAAAAAAACCCAATCCTCGCCTGTTTTTGGAAATGGTTCAAGAGGGAACCCCGCATGTACGCGCACACACACACATGGGGTGGGGGGAGAGAGAGGTAGATGAGAAAGAGGGGAAAAAAAGAGATGGGAGGGAGGGAGATGAGAAAGAGAGGGAGGGAGATGAGAGAGGGAGGGAGAAAGATGAGAGGGAGAGGGAGAAATGAGAGAGAGGGAGAGGGAGAAAGAGAGGGAGAATGTGATGAGAAAGAGGGAGAAAGATGAGAGAAAGAGAGGGAGAAATATGAGGGAGGGAGAAAGAGAGGGAGAAAGAGATGAGAGAGGGAGGGAGAAAGAGAGAGGGAGGGATAGAGAGATGAGAGACAGGGAGAGAGAAAGCGAGAGGGAGAAAGATGAGAGGGGGAGGAAGAAAGAGGGAGAAAGAGAGGGAGAAAGAGGGAGAAAGATGAGAGGGAGGGAAAAAGACAGGGAGGGAGAGAGATGAGAGACAGGGAGGGAGAAAGAGAGGGAGGAAGATGAGATGGAGGAAGAAAGAGAGAGGGAGGGAGAGAGAGAGAGAAAGAAAGAGAGAGAGAAAGATGAGAGATGGGGGGGAGGGAGAGAGAGACCTGTCTAAAAGAAAATACCTGGGGCCACAAAACCTGGGTAGATGTGGCTAGGGGGTGTGTCATGTGACTGGGTGGAAGTGAGTGATGTTGATTTGGCCACGCCCACCCAGATTTTGTGGCTCCGGGTGTTTTGCTTTCTGTGGGAAATGGGCGCAAGTGGCTCTTTGAGTGTTTAAGGTTGCAGACCCCTGGTCTAGAGCAAAGAAGGATTGGGGGTGGCATGATAGCTATTCCAGTATTTGAGGGGCTGCCACAAAGAAGGGGAGGTCAACCTATTCTCCAAAGCCCCAGAAGGCAGGACAAGAAACAATGGAGGGAAACTAATCAAGGAGAGAAGCAACCTGGAATTCAGGAGAAACTTCCTCACAGAGAGGAGAGTTAATGACTGTAGCAACTGGTTTGCAGAAGTTGTGGCTGCTCCAACACTGGAGCCTTTTAGGCAAAGAAAGGAAATGGCTGAGGGTCTCCTGCTTGAGCAGAGGGCTGGACTAGAAGACCTCCAAGGTCCCTTCCTGCCCTATTCTGAGGGACAAAACCCACCAACCAGGGGCTGACACTTCACAGCCTCCTTCAGAGCAAAACTAGGCAAATAATGGATTTTTCAGCTTCTACTCACCTTTGTAGAAAGAAAAGTAAGTAATTGAAATATTAAAATAAAAGCAAAGAACATCAATTCTTCTCCATTTAGGTGACAGGGAAAGAAAGTGGATCTTTTCTCCCTTGGGAGGAAATGAGCTCAATTCAAGCCATTTAACCCTTTTCCCCCCAATAAAGAAAACCCTCCACCCCCGATTGAAGGGAGGAGGCGGCTGTTTCCTGCATGGACCCCATAATCCCCCCTGAGACCCTGGAAAGAGAAGCCCCGCCCTTTGCCCTCCGTGGGGCGGGGCTTCCTCTCCCCCCGCCCCCTTTGCCCAGAGGCTCCCCGTCCAGCCCCGCCTCCACCCGGGACCCTCCTGGCACCCCTGGCTCAGCGGGCACTCAGCGGGGCGACCTTCCTCCGGGCAGCCCCAGGGAGAGCGGGAGCCCCACCTGCCCGGAGCGGGGCCCAGGAGCAGCCTTGCCGGACAGCCAAGAATTCGCCCAGCCGCAAGTGGGGAAACCACAGAGAGGGTAGAAAGAACCACAGGAGATTCCTAGAGAGGCCCCACGGAGGCTTCTCCCCGCCTTTTCCGGCCCTGTTTCTTTCCTGAGAGAGGGGGAGACGCTCTAGCCAGTCTTTCCTCTCCCCAGTGATCGGCTACTGTTTTGGTGTTCGGGAAGTGCCGGTTGCCCGTCGGAGGTCGCTGGGCGAGCCGCCTCTTTCCCAGCCAGGCGGAGTCCAGAGAGGCCGGGAGCCTTTCCCTCCCTCCCTCCCTCCCTCCCAGGATTGGGAAGAGGCGACTGGGGATCCCCATTTCCCCCGACGTTTGGGGGAACTTTGATGCGGGACAGTCTGCAATTTCCCCCTTTTGTGCATTTCGAAACACCATCCCATTCATTTCAATTCATCCTTTATTGTCAGTGCACAACACGTGTACCATGAGTTCGGCTGAGCCTCCCTTAGTTCATCCCCCGCCCCAAGATTAATACAGATCAATAACTCACAGTGGAAAAAGAAAAAGAAAATCCCTATCCCAATAAATCATACTAAGAACATACAATCCTCTATACATATATGTGAATACATTACATTATAATATATTGCACCAATATGAAAGTGTTGCAAAGGCCCTGCAAGTCTATCATACTACATACTTAGGATGTCATGTTGCATTCAGGAGTCTTGACAGCCCAGGGATAAAAGCTGTTCTTCAGCCTGTTTGTTCGACTGGCTATGTTTCTATATCTCCCAGCCGATGGTAGGAGAGGAAAGAAGTGCTGACCAGGGTATGAGTCTTCCTGGAGGATTTTCCACACTTTTCTAAGGCAGCGAGCCCTAGCGATTTCATCCAGTGATGTCAGGGGAAGCCCGTGATGTTTTGTGCCGTGCTCATCACCCTCAATAATGTCTTTATATCCACAGTTGTCAAGCCACCATACCATATCGTAATGCAAGAAGTGAGGACGCTTTCTATTGTAGACCGGTAAAAGGAGGTCATCAGTTCTGGTTCCACCTTGTTCTTCCGCAAAACCTCTGAGGAAGTGGAGTCTCTGTTGGGCCTTCCTGGCCACCTGGGTTATGTTGTTTCTCCAGGTGGGATCTTCGCTTAAATGGACTCCCAGGAATTTGAAGGAGGAGACACTCTCCATACAGCCCCCCTCGATTTAAAGTGGGGCAGGTTCCTCTCTCGTCTTCCGGAAGTCCAGCACCATCACCTTTGTCTTGCTGACGTTCAGGTGCAGGTTGTTTTCTAAGCATCATGTGGATAGTTTTTGAACCTCTGGTAATATTGAACTACTAACTAGATAATACAAAACATTTGCTAGACCAATTCTCGAATGCTAGACCAATTCTGTCTGGAACCCGCACTGCACATCCGACATTAATACAATTGAGAGTCCAGAGATATTTCATAAGTGCACCAGCGTGCCTTCCGTCCCTGTTCTAATGTTCTCTTTTATTTGTATTCATATCATGTATTCAAATCATGTTTATACCTATATATGTTATCTAATACGTCCTTGACAAAAATAAATAAAAAATAAAATAAAAAGTAGAAGAGAGCTACCACAGAATAACAGAGCTGTAGTCTTTTAGTCCTACCTTCCCTGCCCAAAGCAGGAGTCCTTATACGGTTCCAGACAATTTCACATTAGATATTAGGTTTTCACACTCATATCAGATTTCCATATTCATGCCTTAGAATTAAAACTTTTAAAAAATTATAACAAAATTTAACATGGCAAAGAAAATTTCCAAGGAGGCAATTTTAATGGAGAAACTCCAGGAAGCAAGATCTTCCGATTGGCAAGGGAAAAGTATTCTCATGTTATACACCTGTAAGGTTTTTCTCGTGTGTGGATTTTTCATGTGCATCTGAAGATAAAAATCTTTGCCACATTCTAAACCCTGATAAAAGTTTTTCTCCAGTAAAAATTCACTGATGCTGAAAGAGTATTTTTCCGGCCAAACCATACCTCATATTTCAAACATTTCAGCTGCATCTTTCCTACATGGATTAGTGTGATTTTTAAGGGACGATTGATAAGAAAATCCTCTCCCACCATCTGAGAGTTTCTAATCCCTCCTCTCCAATGAACACTTATGACTTTTAAGGGTTGAACAACTATGAAAAACTGTTCTACCATCATTAGGGCTTTTTCCATGTTATTTTTCTGATGTCTCGCTTTTGAGCAAAACATTACCACACTCTATGCATCTCTATGGTTTCACTCGCGTATGGACCTTTTGTTGCCATGCAAGGCCTTCTTTTTGGGAAAACCATTTCCAATACTCCCCACATTTAAAGGGCCTCTCTCCTGTGTGCCTCTTCTGATGACTCCGAGGTTCAGAAGAATCCACAAATCTTTTCTCACATTCTGGACATTGATAAGGTCTGTCTCCAGTGTGAAGTCTTTGATGTCGAATTAGGGTTCACTTCTGGCCAAAACATCTCCCACATTCAGGGCACTGATAGGGTCTTTCTCCAGTGGGAACTCTCTGATGTTGAATTAGGGTTGACTTTCTGCCAAAACACCTCCTACATTATGGGCACTTTTCATTTTTCTGCACATGCAGAAAAAGCTTCTCTTCCTTGTCATGTTTTCTAAGATAATACTTGCAATGAAAAGATTTCTCACACTCTCCGGACATTTATTTATTGATTTATTTTTAAAGTTTTTTATTTTTGAGGCAAACAAACATTTAACACATTATTCATTTCTTCCATGTGACATTTCGGTGTTATCTCCAAAAACCTGCTTCTCTTCTCTTATCTCCTCTATCTTCATACTCATCAAGCCCATTACAAAAAATTTCACTAATATAGTATTCTAATTACCATTTTTTTCAAACTCTTTTCAAACTTATTTATATCTCTTTTCTAACCAATAGTAAAATTGATTCCATATCTTAAAATATTTTGAGTCTTCTCTTTCTTTTATCATCATAGATAATCTATTCATTTCTGCACAATCTAAATTTTTTTTTATTACTTCTCCCTCCCATGGTATATTCTCTGATTTCCAATTTTATGCCTGAAGAATCCTTGCCACTGTTATTACATGTACAATCAAATTTATTTATTTATTTATTTATTTATTTATTTATTTATTTATTTATTTATTATTTAAATTTATATACCGCCCTTCTCCCGAAGGACTCAGGGCGATGTACAGCCAAAAATAAAAACATAAAAATATAAAATTTAAAACAATTTAAAAGTATATTAAACAAATTTGGCCCATATTGATTAACCCCCCCCCTTTTTAAAAAATGAATTAAAAACAATATATTATCTTTACTAATTTTCTCTGGTAAGATACTCAATAGGAATAGCTCTGGTTTTAAATCCATACGTTGTTGTATCATTTCCCCCAACCATAATTTTATTCCAATAGTTCTTTGCTTCAAGGCATGTCCACCATATATGGTAATATGAGCCTGGTAACTGGTGGCATTTCCAACATTTAGCTGATTTATCTTTAAACATTTTTGCCAGTTTATCAGGGGGCATATGCCATCTGTAAAACATTTTATATTGGTTTTCCTTGTATGCTGTGGACATTGTTATTTTGTAATTTCTTTCCCATAATTGTTGCCATTTATCTAACTCAATTGAATATCCAAAATTGTTTGCCCAAGCTATCAGTATTTTTTTTTACTTGTTCTTCCTCTAATTCTATATTCAATAAAAAATTATAACATTTTGTAATTAATTTGTCCTCTGTTCCTGTGAGTATCTTATCCAGCTCAGTCTTCTCTAAGTAAAAACCATGTAATTTAAGATCTTTTTTGTATCTGGTTTATATTTGCATATACATATACCAGTGGTGGGTTGCTACCGGTAGTAGAAATTTTGAGTAGAACAATGCATTTCTTATGTAATGTCTATGAAAGTACGTATATATCTTATTTCTCCCATACCATAAAAAAGCATGCCAGCCCAGTTGTAGATCATAACCTCCCAGTATTAATAGTCTTGTATTTCTTAGTTTGACTCATTCTTTCAGCTATGTCAATGCTGCTGCTTGATAATATAGTTCCCAGTTCGGAAATCCAAATCCTCCTCGTAATCTCGTATCCTGAAGGATTATCTAAGTATTTTCAAATTTTATCAATATTTATTAAATATTGAAAATAAGTCTTTTCAAATTTTATCTAATAATAAGATTATTATTAGTAATAATAATCTTGGTAATATATTCATCTATATTATTGCAATCCTTCCCATAAGTGACAATTGAAGATTCTTCCATTTCTCCAAGTCTCTCTCAATTTGTTCTTTAAGTCTATAATAATTGTGATCTTTAATTGTTGCGCACCTAGAAGTCAAATATATTTCTAAGTATTTAACTTTTCTCACCGCTTGTATGTCTAATTTCTCTTCTATCTCTCTTTTTTGTTTTTCTGTAGAGTTTTTCACCAAAATTTTTGTTTTTTCTTTATTTTCAATCCAGACACTTTTCCATAGTTCTCTATTTGAGTTAATAATTTTACTCCCCTAGCTTGTGGTTCCTCCAAAATAAATACTAGGTCATCAGCAAATGCTTGCAATTTGTATTCCTCTTTTTAAATTTTCATTTCCTTTATCTCTTTATCTCGCCTGATATTTCTATTTAACACCTCTGAAGTCAAAATAAACAATAACGGTGATAGGAGCATCCTTCTCTAGTACCCTTCATAATGCCAACACTCTCTATCATTTCTCCATTCATCATTATTTTAGCAGATTGGCTATCATAAACCGTTTTTACTGTGTTTAATAAATCTCTCCCCAAAGTTCATTCTCTGCAATTGTTCTATCATGAACTGCCAATTCACATTATCAAAAGCTTTTTGGGCATAAAAAAATATTATCGCCATTTGTTTTTCTGAGTGGTTGGATGGCTGGATTAGTAAAAAATTTAAAAGAGGAAAAAAAAAAGGAAAAACCCGAATCAACCACCTCCCTCCAAAAATTTAAAGTTCCCAGTCTCCCATATAGGAATTTAAAATTTTAAAAAGGAAATATGGAAAAAAAAGAAAAAAGAGAAAAAAGAGAAAAAAGAAAAAAAAAGGTTAATCCAGTTATCCAAATAGCAAGAGTTCAAAAAAAAAAAAAAAACCTAAAAAAGAAAAAAGAAACAAGAAGAATCCAATCAAAGGTAGCCAAAAGAAAAAAGAGGAAGTTTTTCTTCTGACTCTTCATGTCATAATCCAAATTTTTTAAAAATCTAATTCTACTAAGTTCAGTAAAAAAAACCTCTGAGTAAAAGACAAGTCAAGAATAAAGGCTAAAATCAGAGATATTCTTATTGGGAATCTTACCGGAGAATTATAGTAAAGAAGATATATATTTGATTATTCATATAATAACAACGGCTAGAATTGTATTTGCACAAAACTGGAAAGCAGATAAAATCCCGTTGGAAGGAGAAATTCTAAAAAAATTTTTGAATGTGCAAAAATGAATAGATTAACATTGAGAATAAAAGATAAAGAGGAGTTGATGTATTTCAAGACATGGGATAAATTTTATGATTGGTTAGAAAAGAAATATGAATAAGGATATAAAGATAAAATAGAGAATAGATGGGAGAAAACAATTAGAAAAATAGATACCCAGATGATGTCAAGTAAAAGGAGAAAGGGGAGGGGGATGTAAAAGGGAAAAAAGTGGGATATCATAAAAATGTACGCAAATGATGTAAATAAAATTAAATAAGATATTGAATAAGAAATTGAAATGAGAATAAAGATAATTGGAAAATCGGGGCTGCTCGAATACCACTTTAGACTGAACTGAAAGGGAAAAGGGAAACAACAGGAGAGAGGGGAAGGAGTAGAGAGAGAGGAAAGGAGAAGCGAGGAGAGGAGAGGAGAAAGAAGAAAGGAAAAGGAGAGGAAGAAAAGGGAGGGATAGAGGAGCAGAGGAGAAGGTTAGAAGGGGGGAAGATGAGAGGAGTGGGGGAAGAGAAGGGGAAGTAGGAAAGGGAAGGAGAGAAAGAACGAAGGAAGTATAAAGAGAAAGAGGAAGGAAGAGAAGGGGAGGAGAAGAAGAAAGGTTGGAGTAAAGGTAAAAGGTAAAAGAGCAGCCCCGAAAAAGTAAAAATGAAAAATGAAAGTTAAAGGAAAAGATGAATGAAAAATGACGGAAATGACTGTACATGTAAATGTGTTTATGAGAAATAAATATAAAACTTTTAAAAAAAGAATAAAGGCTTTTTCTTTCCACCAGCAAATCTCAAAACAAAGTACTTCAAAAAATTTGTAGTAAAGTATATAAACTAGTCATCCCAGAAAAAAAGAAAAGATTATGTAAGATTCAAAGCCAAAAAAAAGAAAGAAAAAAGTTCAAAAGCAAGTTCAAAGTCTCTCCTTCACAGCTGTTATCATTTGGCTAAAATGTCAAGGTCAGTCATTTATTAAAGTTTCTTCACAGTAAATATCTTTTTTTTCTTTCGCCACTAGATGGCATGCAGGTTAACTTTTGACATTACACAGCACTTTCACTTCTATTTAGCTTTGTTGTTTCAAGATTCTTTTACCAATCATCCCCATTCTATGATAATTCATTCATGGGATTTCCATCTTCAATTCAATTCATTATCCCAATTCTTATTATCAATTTTAAAAAGGTTCAAAATTCCCCAGTTCTTTTTTCCCCCCAATAGTAAAATAGTAAAAAAAAGTTTCCAGTTTCACTTTCCTCGCAGCCAAGTTACTGGATGTGAGAGCTAATACACACCCACTCTTACTCCTCGCTTTCAGCTAGTCTTTTTCACCCTGTGAATTTTTCAGGTGGATTTGAAGAGAAACTTTTGGTAGAAAAATCAGATCACTCTCACCTCCATGTCACATGCTGTCTTTCTTCATCCTCTTTTGCTGTAGCTGCCCCAGCTTCCGAGCGACTTCTAGGTCGCTTTCTGTGCTGTCCAAATTGAGGAGTTTCTTCTGGTCCTACCAGGGAGTTTGCAGACTTCCTGTGTTGACCGGTACATGCTCCTCTTTTTTGTCAGCCCTACAAGATAACTTAGGTCCCTGGGGACCCTTGGACAGCGGAGATATCAACGGGTCTTTGAGAACCCTCAAAGAGTCTGTCGTTCCGCCGCAACGCTGTCCACACCTCCCCTCTCTCTGGACATTTATATTGCTTCTCTAAGTGGATTCTCTGATGAACCTGAAGCAGTGTTGCTGTGAAAAAACTTTTCCCTCACTTCCCACATTTATAGGGCAACTCTCCTGTGTGCCTCTTCTGATGTCTCCGAAGTCCAGCAGACTCCACAAATCGTTTCTCACATTGTGGGCATTGATAGGGTGTGTCTCCAGTGTGAATTCTCTGATGTCGAATCAGGTGTGACTTGTAGCCGAAAGATCTCCCACATTCTGGGCACTCATAGGGTCTTTCTCCGGTGTGACGTCTCTGATGTTGAATTAGGTTTGACTTGGAGCCAAAAAATTTCCCACATTCTGGGCACTGATAGGGTTTTTCCCCAGTGTGAATTCTCTGATGTTGAATTAGTTGTAACTTTGTGCCAAAACATCTCCCGCATTCTGGGCACTTTCCATTTTTCTGCACACGCTTGTACGGCTTCTCTCCTTTGTGAAGCATCTCATGTTTTCTAAGATAATATTTGCAATGAAAAGTTTTCTCACACTCTGGACATTTATATTCCTTCTCTAAGTGGATTCTCTGATGAACCTGAAGCAGTGTTTCTGGAGAAAATCCCCCACACCTCCCACATTTATAGGGCAACTCTCCTGTGTGCTTCTTCTGATGCCTCCGAAGTCCAGCAGACTCTACAAATCGTTTCTCACATTGTGGGCATTGATAGGGTGTGTCTCCAGTGTGAATTCTCTGATGTCGAATCAGGTGTGACTTGTAGCCAAAACTTCTACCACATTCTGGGCACTGATGGGGTCTTTCTCCTGTGTGAAATCTCTGATGTTGAATTAGTTGTGACTTTGTGCCAAAACAACTCCCACATTCTGGGCACTTTTCATTGTTCTGCACATGATTGTAAAGCTTCTCTCTTTTGTGAATCTTCTCATGTTTTCTAAGATAAGATTTGCAATGAAAAGTTTTCTCACACTCAGGACATTTATATTGCTTCTCTAAGTGGGTTCTCTGATGCAACATAAGTGAATCTTTCCGGAGATAAGATTTCTCACACACTGAGCATTTGTGGCGTTTCTGACCCGTATGGATTTGGAAGTGATCCCTAAGGGATGATGACTTTGCAAATGCTTTCCCACATTCTAAACATTTGAACCTTTTTTCCCCCCTGTGAACATTCTGATGACTTCTGAGGTTTTGTATTGTACGGAAAAATCTTCCACATTCAATGCACATATAGGGCTTCAACCCTGAATGAATAATCTGATGTTGAGAAAGATTTGACATTTTAAAAAAACATTTATCACAATCCTTACATTTATACAGTTTTTCTCCCCTGTGCGTCCTTTGGTGGCTCCGAAGGTCAGAAGAAACCACAAAACTTTTCTCACATTCTGAGCATTGATAGGGTCTCTCCCCAGTGTGACGTCTCTGATGTAGAATTAGGTTTGATTTCTGACTAAAACATCTCCCACATTCTGGGCACTGATAGGGTTTTTCCCCAGTGTGAATTCTCTGATGTTGCAACAAGCATGATTTGCTGGAAAAAGTTTTCCCACATTCTAGGCACATTTTGCTTTCCTCCTTTATGTGTGTTTTATTGTGTTTCCAAAGAGATGAGCTCCAAGTGAAACATTTTCCACACACAAAGCATTTATAAGGTCTCTGCCCTACGTGACTTTTCTCATGTTTTCTAAACAATTGTTTATTACGGAAAGATTTCCCACACTCCAGACATTGATACGGTTTCCCTCTGGTGTGGATTTGCTGATGTTTAAGCAGCTCTGAGTTTTGAGAAAAGCACAGCCCACATTGCACACACTTGCAGGGCTTCTCTTCAGTCGGGCTGTTCTGAGGCCTAGAAAGACGCCATCTCCCAGGAAATCTTCCCCAGCGCTTCCAGGATTCCTGAGATCTCTTTCCCTGGTGGATTCGCTGATGGGCTCCAAGGTCCGAGCCTTTAGCAAAACGCTCCCCACACTCTCCGCATTTGTAAGGCTTCAGTCCAGGGTGGCTCCGGAGATGTTTGGCAAAGCTCCATGTTCCAGGAAAGGATTTCCCACAAAGAAAACACAGGTGGGATCCATTCCCCGTATGCAGCTTCTGGTGGATCAAAAGGAGGGACCGGTGAGCAAAGGATTTCCCGCACTTGGAGCATCTGGAGAGTTTCCCCTGATTCCTCTTATGGGACTTTTGGCCAAAGCGTTCCCCCCTCTGCATAGTCTCCAGGGGCTGCTCACTTCCAGGGCTTTCCATCCAAGGAAACTCGAACAAGCTGACCTTTGGCCAAAAGGTTGGAAGATGGGCAGGAGGATGGGCTCCAGCACAAGTCCAAAAACTCGGAAGACGAAACCTCTGGTCCCGGTGACTGACCCCGACTGGATTCTGCAAGCAGAACTTCTTCCAAAGGGTTTCCTGGTGGCACCTGCAGGATGAAGATAAAAGAAGTGAAGGAGAGAGGAAGATTTAGTTTCTTCAGGAAGACCCCCTATATGAACCCTGGAGGGCCCCCCCCAAAGCCTCTACTCCCAGCCTTCAGAATCAAAGACATGCTGGGATCCTCCCTGTTGAGCTGACCTCCCCTTCCCTTTTCTTAGCAATTTATTTATTTATTTATTTGATTTATATTGCCACCTATTCGCCCATGGCAACTCAAGGCTGCTTACAGCATATAAAAAAACACATTTAAAAAACAATAATACCCATAATAGTTCAAATAAATTAATGCAATAAAATCACTCTGACCCTCTCAGTGACAGCCAATCACATGAGCCATTTAATTGGGCTCCATTCCATTCTGGGTTCCCCAGGCCCACTGGCAGAACAAGGTCTTCAACGCCTTCCGGAAGAGTACTAGAGTGGGGACCTTTCTAATCTTTGGGAGAATAATGTTTCAGAGAGAGGGAGCCACCACGGAGAAGGGCCTTCTTCTGGGTCCCGCCAGGTGTATTTCCCTCAGGGATGGGACCCACAGCATTCCCTGCCTCCCCGCTCTAATGGGTGAGGTAGATTAAGAGATGGCAAGTGACGGTCCCTCAGATAACCTGGTCCCAAGCCATGAAGGGCTTTAACGGTGACAACCAGCACCTTGAATTGCACCTGGAAGCAAATCGGCAGCCAATGCTGCTCCCGCAGGAGAGGTGATATATGTCGCATGCTGCATTTTGCACCAACTGAAGCTTCCGGATGCTCTTCAAGGGCAGCCCCATGTAGAGCGTGTTGCAATAGTCAAGACGGGAAGTGACTAAGGCCTGAGTGACTGTGAGTAGGGATTAACTATTATATATATTATATCTGTGAATTGGTGGTTCTGGGCAGAGGGCAGAGAGCTAGGCCAGCAGAGAATCGAGCAGAGAGCAAGGCCAGTATCCAGAGCGGATCCCCACCCAGGCAGAAAGCGTTGGGAGTGGATCCCCAAGCTACCAGGTGGAGAGCGTTGGAGCGGATCCCCAATCTACCAAGCAGAGATTAATAGAACATCGATCCCTAAGCGGATAGCAAATCCACCCCCATGGAGCCCCCCCCCCTCAGGCGAAAATTCCCCAGGAAAGATTCCCCAGCAAAGATCGGTGGAGCATCAGTGGATCGCTGTTTCCTGTTTCTGCATGTTTCCCTCATCGGATAATAGAACAAATCAGAGCACGCCTGGAGAATAGACCTATTCTGAGCCTGCTTCAGTGTTGGTTAATGGATAATCAATTGATTATCGATAGTGATTGATTTCAGTACCATTTAATGTCTTGTTAATTGTCTACTAGTTGATTAATTACCTAGTAGTTGATTAATTGCCAAATAGATTAATAGTTTATCCTAATTGATTCATTGTCTAATTTAATTAATTCGTTGTCTATCATATTGAATAATTAGTGTTATTGATTAGTATTACTGATTAGTGTTATTGATTAGTGTTATTGATTATTAATAACACTATCAATTAGTGTTATTGATTAGTGTTATTGATTATTGATTAGCATATTGATTAGCATAGTTATTGATTAGTGTGGCATAGATTTACCATCTAATAAGAAATTAATACATACCAGCAAATATGAATTCTACACTGAATACTAACAAATAAGAAGTACTCCACAAATCTACCACGCCAGGCAAAAACTCCAATCTACTACCAAACACCCACAAAAGAAAGATATCTCTACCAATGAGCACCCTAACGACTCCTGCACATGCTTTCAATGTTCTGTAACTATCAATAACAACAAGGATATCATTAAATGCCGCCTATGTGACAATTACGCCCACCTCTCCTGCTTAAAATTAACCAAACATATAGCAAATCTCCTACAAGCATCAGCTACATGTCCATTTCTCTGTCCATCATGTTTACCTAAGCTGGACAATCTAAGTCTCCTGTCTGATAAAGTCGAAACCATTGAAACATCCATTATCTCTGTAGAAGAAAGCTTAGTAGCACGTTTTGAAGCCAGTTTACAAGCATGTCTAACATCTCTTGAAAAAAAAAAAAATTCAGCAGAGGTAAGTAAATACCTAACAGCTCAAAATTCTATCTCAATTCAACAACCACTACCACAACCACAACCTCAAATAACGACCAACCCAACAAATAATATCTCCTTATGCATCAAAGACGCCATTGAAAACGAACAGAAACGTCCAAACGCTATTTTATTTGGCCTGGAAGACACCAACAAACCTGACGATATCACTAAGGTTCGCAACATTATAAGCAACTCCCATACTCCAAACATCTCCCCTGAAGACATCATCAAAATTTCCAGAGATGGCCCTGAGTACAAGTACAATCACAATCGGTGGCCCAATGATTTTGTAGAGTCATTTGCAAGAATGAGTCCAAAAAAACCCCTAACCCAATATTTCGTACACCACAAAGAATTACAAGGATTGCAATGATCTAATACATATCGATTTTACAGAAGACAATGTTGAAAAGGCACTACGCAGTCTAAAACCATCCCTATCTATTGGACCTGACGGACTATGTGCCTACTTCTTAAAAAAGCTTTCCACTGCAATAGCAGAAGCTCTAAGCATACTCTTTGAAAAATCTTTAATGACCAGCTCTTTGCCCAACCATTGGGCACTAGCCACGGTCATCCCTATCTTCAAAAAGGAACACCCCAGCCTAGTTGAAAATTACAGACCAATCTCTTTATGTTGTGTCACCTGCAAAGTCATGGAATCAATCATTAACCAATGCATCACCCTCCACGAAGAGACAAACAACTTACTCTCCAACAAACAATTTGGTTTCAGAAAAAAATTATCCTGTAATCTGCAACTACTACATTGCAAAAATATATGGATTACACATCTCGATCAGGGCAAAGCAATAGACGCAATTTACATAGACTTCTGCAAAGCCTTTCATTCAGTGGTACACGACAAGCTACTTCTAAAACTAACATCTTCTGGCATTTCTGGAATCCTGCATAAATGGACAGATGCTTTCCGGTCAAACAGGCAACAAGTGGTCAAAATAGGAAGCACTCTATCATATCCTGTACCTGTTAAAAAGCACTGTTCCCCAAGGCAGCGTTTTAGGACCAACACTCTTTATACTTTACATAAATGACCTTTGCGATCATATTAAAAGCAACTGCGTTCGCTTCGCTGATGATGTAAAACTATTCAAAACCACCTACAATGCTGTTACCCTTCAAAAAGACTTTGACTACGTGTCAGATGGCTCAAACAAGTGGCAACTTCAAATCTCATCTAACAAATGCTCTGTCTTACACATTGGCAAAAAGAATCAGAACACCAAATACAAGCTAGATGGACATGACCTTGTAGACGACCCTCACTCTGTCAAGAACCTTGGAGTACTCATTTATAAAGATCTAAGTGCCAGAGCCCACAGTAATAACATTGCCAAAAAGGCATTAAGAGTTGTTAATCTAATCTTGCGTAATATTGAACTACTAACTAGAGCATACAAAACATTTGCTAGACCAATTCTCAAATACAGCTCATCTGTCTGGAACCCACACTGCATATCGGACATTAATACAATTGAGAGAGTCCAGAGATATTTCACGAGAAGAGTCCTCCACTCCTCTGCTCCCAATATAATACCTTATGCCACCAGGCTGGAAATTTTGGGCTTAGACAATTTAGAATTACGCTGCCTTCGATTAGACCTAAGCATGGTATATAAAACTATCCGCTACAATGTCCTACCTGTCAATGACTACTTCAGCTTCAATCACAACCATACACAAGCACACAATAGATACAAACTTAAGGTAAACCGCTCCAAACTTGATTGCAGAAAATACGATTTCAGCAACAGAGTGGTCAACGCCTGGAATGTACTACCTGACTGTGTGGTTTCTTCCTCAAACCCCAAAAACTTTAACCTAAAACTGTCTACTGTTGACCTCACCCCATTCCTAAGAGGTCTGTAAAGGGCGCACATAAGTGCACCAGTGTGCCTTCCGTCCCTGTCCTAATGTTCCCTTTTATTCATATTCATATCATGTATTCAAATCATGTTTATACCTATATATGTTATCTAATATGTGCTTGACAAAAATAAATAGCTTCCATTAAAAATTGACCCTATATATGAACCTAAAGAGGAAGACCGATGGAAGCCTGTCACTTTTAGAAGAAAACAACAACCGAGAGCAAACCCCCTTCTGTGTATCCTACTCCACTCCGATGAAGCCCCTCTGGAACTGAACAATCATTTTCATGTTCTCCCCATGGAAGGAAATATGCAGTCGCCCACAAAAGAGCAGTCTTCAATAGTTTCTTAAAAAAGAGGCAAAACGCAGCATTTATGCAACAGGATAAAAACATCCCAGAATTTCCTAGGGAAAGAAGGCGAGTTTCAGTGACAAGCAATTCAATTCTTAGGGGAAGAGAAACTATAGTCTGCAGAGCAGATAGTCAATCTAGGAAGGAATGTTATCTCCCTGAAGCAAAAATTAAAGATGTAACAGAAATAATCAAAGCCATGGAGTACTACCCCTTTCTTCTCCTGCACATGGAGACCAATAACACAACAATGAATCTGAAAAGAGCGGATGTGATTCCCATTTTCAAGAAAGGAAGGAAAAAAAACCAAACACAAGAGATCCGGGGAAACTATAAGCCAATCAGCCCAACATCAATACCTGGGAAGATCCTGGAAAAGATAATAAAAACACAGATCTGCAAACATCTAGAAACAATGTTGTAATTAAAAGCCATTATGGGTTAGTAAAAAACAGATCATGCCAAACCAATCTTATTTTCTTCCTTGACAAGAATGGTTAGTCTCTGGACAAAAGAAGGATTGGGGGTGGCATGATAGCTATTCCAGTATTTGAGGGGCTGCCACAAAGAAGAGGAGGTCAACCTATTCTCCACAGCACCAGAAGGCAGGACAAGAAACAATGGAGGGAAACTAATCAAGGCGAGAAGCAACCTGGAATTCAGGAGAAACTTCCTCACAGAGAGGACAGTTAATGAGTGCAGCAACTGGTCTGCAGAAGTTGGGGCTGCTCCAACACTGGAGCCTTTTAGGCAAAGAAAGGAAATGGCGGAGGGTCTCCTGCTTGAGCAGAGGGCTGGACTAGAAGACCTCCAAGGTCCCTTCCTGCCCTATTCTGAGGGACAAAACCCACCAACGAGGGGCTGCCACATCACAGCCTCCTTCAGAGCAAAACTAGGCAAATAATGGATTTTTTTTCCTACTCACCTTTGTAGAAAGAAAAGTAAGTAATTAAAATACTGAAATAAAAGCAAAGAACATCAATTCTTCTCCATTTAGATGACAGGGAAAGAAAGTGGATATTTTCTCCCTTGGGAGGAAATGAGCTCAATTCAAGCCATTTAAACCTTTTCCCCCCCAATAAAGAAAACCCTCCACCCCCGATTGAAGGGAGGAGGCGGCTCTTTCCTGCACTGACCCCATAATCCCCCCTGAGACCCTGGAAAGAGAAGCCCCGCCCTTTGCCCTCCGTGGGGCGGGGCTTCCTCTCCCCCCGCCCCCCTTTGCCCAGAGGCTCCCCGTCCAGCCCCGCCTCCACCCGGGACCCTCCTGGCACCCCTGGCTCAGCGGGCACTCAGCGGGGCGACCTTCCTCCGGGCAGCCCCAGGGAGAGCGGGAGCCCCACCTGCCCGGAGCGGGGCCGAGGAGCAGCCTTGCCGGACAGCCAAGAATTCGCCCAGCCGCAAGTGGGGAAACCACAGAGAGGGTAGGAAGAACGACAGGAGATTCCTAGAGAGGCCCCACGGAGGCTTCTCCCCGCCTTTTCCGGACCGGCTTCCGCCTTGGGAGAGTGGGGGAGACGCTCTATCTCCTTTTTCCTCTCCTCCCCTGTGATCGGCTGCAGTTTCGAGGCGCTGGGCGAGCCGCCTCTTTCCCAGCGGAGTCCTTCTTTTCCTCTCTCTGCCCCCCCCTCTGCCGATTGTGAAGAGGGGATCCTCGCTCCCTCCTTGCCCCGAAGTTTTGGGGGACTTGGACGCGGGACCGGGGACAGTTTCCCCCTTTTGTGCCCTTCGGGGCATCAGGAAACACCGTCCCATAAGCTTTGCTTTCATCGTGGTTTGCTGACTGTGGGGTAACTGGGTTACTTTCCAAGCCACGGGTCAGAAAGCGGACAGAATAACAGAGTTGGAAGGGAGCTTGGAGGCAGGGTGGATTTGATTTAAATCGAGTTGATTTAAATCACAATTTAAATCATGATTTAAATCACTAGTAAAAAGGCTTGATTTAAATCAACTCGATTTAAATCGTAATTTTGAAAGAGCAGCTGTCATCTCTGCTGCTCCTTTGACCCGCTGTTGACTCACCGATAGTCCCAGTGTTGCAGAATATACAGCCTCATGCTACATAACTAAGCTCCATTTCATGCTGAATAAACTAAATTATTTATGTATCTTAAATAGAAAACTATCTTACGATAGATTTTTACCCCAAAAGTTTTTTATTAAAATAAATTCGATAAAAATCAAAAAAATCCGATTTAAATTTAAAAAATCCGACTTAAGTCAAAAAAATCTGATTTTTTAAAAATTTTTTTAAAAAAAAATCATTGATTTTTATCCACCCTGCTTGGAGGTCATCTAGCTCAACCCTCTGCCGAAGCAAGAGACACTAAACCTATCCAGACAAATGATTGCCTGGTCTCTTCTTAAAAGCCTCCACTGATGGAGGACTCACAACTTCTGGTGGCAAACAGTTCCACTGATTAATAGTTCTAAATGTTAGGAAATTTCTCCTTAGTTCTAGGCTGCATCTCTCCTCGATTAGTTTCCAGCCTTTGCTTCTTGTTCAGCCTTCAGGTGCTTTGGAAAATAGGTTGCTCCCCCCCTTTTCTTTGTGACAGCTTCTCAGATATTGGAAGGCTGCCGTCCTGTTTATTTGTTTGTTTGTTTGTTTGTTTGTTTGTTTGTTTGTTCGTTCCTTCGTTCCTTCCTTCCTTCCTTCCATCCATCAAGCTGGCCTGGCCTAAATCTTTTCCCCTTTAAAATGTAAATTTTAATTTGTTTTTAAAATTATTGGGTGTTTTTTAATTTGTCTCGGCCAAATTGTTTTAATTCGGTTTTATTCTGTTTTTAAATTTTGTATTTATGTGTTTTATTTTCTGTGGCTGTTCACCGTCCTGAGTCCTTCGGGTGTAGGGCGGTATACAAATCCGATAAAAGATAAAAAGATTTATTGGTTCGATTTATATGCCACCCTTCTCCGGAGACTCAGGGCGGTTTACAATGCTTTTATTTATTATTTTATTTTATTTTATTTTATTATTTTTTATTATTATTTTATTTTATTTTATTTTTTTATTTTTTTATTATTTTATTTTATTTTATTTTATTTTATTATTTTATTTTATTCAATTTGTATACCGCCCTTCTCCTAGTGGACTCAGGGCGGTGCACAGCCAAAACTAAAATACATACCAATACAAAATTTAAAATTATTAAAAGAATTACATAACTTTGGCCCAAATTTAAAACAATTCGAATTAAAACCCATGGACAGATTAAAAGCTAAAAAAACTAAAAAAGCAATAGCCTTCATACTTTTTGTATAGATCTGCTTAGTAGGGCTTTTGCTCCCCCCGCCCGCCCCACAAGTGATGTTCCATTTTATACAAAATCAGCTTATTGCCCCCACAATCCCCCTGTGGGAAAACTGCATCAAAACTCCGGGCAACTCAGCTCCCAGACACGTGAGGGGGTGGGAGAAAGAGACGAGCTTCCTAGAGACGCCACTAGAAACCTTTCCCCGCCTTTTCCGGCTCCCTTTTCCTCCCTGGAAGAGTAGAGGTGGGGGGGGAGACGCTCTAGCCCCTCCTTCCTCTCCTCCCCCGGGAGCGGCTGCAGTTTCGGGGTCCGGGAAGCGCCGCTCCCCCCCTCGGAGGGCGAGCCGCCTCTATTTCCGAGCCGGGCGGAGGCGAAGGCGAGTCTTTTAAGCGGGAGGACCAAGCGGGAGGAAAGTAGCAGAGGGGGCAGGACTCCAGCAACTGTCTTCCCCAGCCGACTTGGCCGGGGATGATGGGTGAGGCTGCACCCCAGAGCTGGGGGGGTTGGTTGTGGTCAGCAGGAGGGTGTTTGGCGGCTCTTTCCAAGCTGCCGCTTTCCCAGTGGGGGTGAGTTCCCACGACGGCTCAACCTAACCCGGGTTGGGTCGCCCTCCATCCCGTGTGCACGTCGGAAGGGCCGGTCTGGTGGGCAACGCAACCCCGTCCTTGCTTCTCCATTAGGGAGTTTGGGTCCCAAGTTTGGTCTGGGATGTTTAATTTTTTTTGGGGGGTGGGGACTGTTAAGTCTTTTTGGGGCGAGGGATAAAGAAGTGGCATCTGGATCTGCTGTTGACAAAGGTTTGCAGAAGAGTTGCAACCCCCCCCCCCCAAAATAGAACTTAAAACAGTTCGTTTAGTGACTGAAGTTAATAGTAACAGAGATGGAAGGGACCCTGGAGGTCATCTAGTCCAACCTCTCTGCTCATGCAGGAGACCTGTTACTAGGGATTCGAACGGGGGTGAAATCCAAAATTTTTGCCTACCGGTTCGGTGGGCGTGACAGGGGAAGGATATTGCCAAATCTCCATTCCCACCCCCCCCACTCCAGGGGAAGGATACTGCAAAATCTCCATTCCCACCCCCCCACTCCGGGGGAAGGATATTGCAAAATCTCCATTCCCACCCCGCACTCCAGGGGAAGGATGCTGCAAAATCTCCATTCCCTCCCTTCCTGGGGGAAAGGATATTGCCAAATCTCCATTCCCACCCCCCACTCCAGGGGAAGGATACTGCCAAATCTCCATTCCCTCCCCTCCTGGGGGAAGGATATTGCCAAATCTCCATTCCCACCCCGCACTCCAGGGGAAAGATACTGCAAAATCTCCATTCCCTCCCCTCCTGGGGGGAGGATATTGCCAAATCTCCATTCCCACCCCCCACTCCGGGGGAAGGATACTGCAAAATCCCCATTCCCGCCCCACTCCTGGGGGAAGGATATTGCAAAATCTCCATTCCCACCCCACTCTGGGGCCAGCCAGCCACAGGTGGTATTTGCTGGTTCTCTGAACTACTCAAACTTTCCGCTACCGGTTCTCCAGAACCTGTTAGAACCTGCTGGATTTCACCCCTGGAGTCGAACCGCCGAACTGCTGATCGTTCTGATTGACAAGCTCAGCATCTTAGTAGCCACTGAGCCACCTAGTCAGGAAAAAGTGACTTACAACCGTTGTTCACGGTGACGACGATCCCTGCGGCATTCCCCAGGGTCATGTGATCAAAACTCCAATGCTGGGCAACGGATGATGGTTTGCAGTGTCCCCGGGGTCATGTGATCAATGTTGGCCGAGCAAAGTCGGTGGGGGAAACCAGACTCACCGAACAGCTTGGTTTACCAACTTAAGAACAGCTGTGATTCCCTTAACAACGGCGGCAGGAAAAGTCGTAAAATGGGGCCAAGCGCGTTTTAACAAATGCCTCGCTTAACAACAGGCATTTGGGGCTCAATTGTGGTCGTAAGTCGAGGACTACCTGTATTGCTTTTTGAACAGTAGTTAAGGAAGGCAGTTTTAGCACTTCCTCCTTCCATTCCCCTTCCCCCCCCACACACACACACAAATCTTGAAAGTTAGTTTAGCATGAGAGAGAAAGGGAGAAAAAGAAGGAAAGAAAGAGAGAGAAAGAAAGAGAAAAAGGTTAGTCCTGAGTTACCGAGGCAGCTTCCCCAGTTGAAGGACCCAAGAGGCTGCGTCTCCTGAATGCTTCTTACTTCCTAACAGACTTTTTCAACCTTGGGAAATTTAAGATACGTGGACTCTCAGAAATCCCTAGCCATCCTGCTTGCTCACTGTTCCCATATTCTCATCTCTAAGGATACATTCCCCCCCCGACCCCTTTTATATGCAAGGATTTGTTTGTTTTTGGACAGGGGAACCAATCTGCTTGGGCGCTCAGAAATATATAAAATATAGGGACTCCTCGAGCAGGAGGTCAGATTAGAAGACCTCCATGGCAGGGGTAGGTTCTACTTACCTTTACTACCGGTTCGCAATGGGGCCGCGCCTGTGCGCTCACTTTGCTTGTGAGGGGGCGCGCTCTTCTGTGCATGCGCAGAAGCATTTTGATGACATCAGCGTCGGTGGGCGGAGCCTCCCGCCAGTTTTACTATTGGTTCTATAGAACCAATGCAAACTGGGGGCAACCCACCACTTGTTGTGGCCCGTCAGCAGCCTGTGTAGCTAGTAGCTGATTCTGACAGCGAGGAGGCTGGTGTGGTGCTGCGCCAGCAGCCTGTGCAGCTGGCACTCGAGTTGGACAGTGAGGAGGCTGGAGAAGATGTGGTGCCAGAGGCAGGGATTCAGCCAGGACCTTCAGAACCTCCAGAAGCTCCCTTAAGTGAAGAGGACGAAGAGGAGGAGCCTCTTCTCGATGCACGGGCACGCAGAACTGCCAAAAGGCAGGAGTGGTTCCTCAGGAGGAGGTCTCCTCGAGAGTAAGACTTGGGGCTAATTGGCCACTCCCTTAGCTTATTTAAGGAAGGATGATGACTGAGGCAATTTGCAGGGAACAACTTCGTTCATTCTCCTTCGTGTCTTGATCTTAATTCTCTACAAATTGCTTCTGGGCTTTCTGCCAACCATAGTAAAATTACAATTACTAAATCCAATTCTTTGGATTCTTGTAGGCTGTTAAGAAAGTTAATTAACAGCCTTTGTTTGAAAAAGACTGATTTAATTTAGTAAACTAAGGTTTGTACAGACTTTGTGTGTGCTGCGTTCTTTGGGGTCCATAGCTGGAGCAACCCACCACTGCTCCATGGTCCCTTCCAACTTAAGCCTGAATAGGTGGCTCAAAGCCTGACTAGGTGGTTCAGTGGCTAAGACACTGAGCTTGTCGATCAGAAAGGTAGGCAGTTCGGCGGTTCAAATCCCTAATACAGGTCTCCTGCGTGAGCAGGGGGTTGGACTAGATAACCTCCGAGGTCCCTTCCAACTGTTACTGTTAACTCTGATGATGAAATGATTAGCAAGCTAATTGTTGGATTGTCTTTTCCCCATTTCTCTCATCTTCTCTGTCCTGTAGGAAGAAACGTCAACCTTTTGGAAAAACAATTATTTCTCTGACCGAGCGAGCGAGCGAGCCAGTTTGGGAAATAAAAGTTTTCTCGGACAATTCCACAGATTGACCGGACTTATTTGCAGGCTTCCCCTTTGCATTTAGGAGAAGAGGGAGAAGGGAGAAGGCGATGGCCACACTGAGCGCCTTGAGTGAGGTCCAGGCGAAACGCGTGTGGGAATTTTTTCCCAAGAAACTCGGAGGGGAGATGCTGCAGAAGGACGCGGAGTTACCCCAACACTGGCAAGACCTGATTGTAACCGCAGGCTCTCTGCACTCTGGCTGGGGGGGCAGCCAGGGTCCAGAGGAACCCACTCCCTGGGACGACTCCAAGGGTTTCCTGGCCTCCTTTGAACAAGTGGCTGAGGCCTGTCGGTGGCCCCGGAAAGAGTGGGCAGCCCGGCTTTTGCCTGCCCTCCGCGGAGAAGCCGAACAAGCTTTCAGTAACCTGGAGGCTCGAGACCGGCAGGATTACGGGAAGGTGAAAGCAGCCATCTTGCACCGGGATGCCCTGAGCCGGGAAAAACAACGCCAGCACTTCCGGCGTTTCCGTTACCAGGAGGCCGAGGGGCCACGCGGGGTTTACAACCGGCTCCAGGCGCTGTGCCGTCAGTGGCTGAAGGTGGAGAGACACTCCAAGGAGCAGATCCTGGAGCTGCTGATCCTGGAACAGTTCCTGACCGTCCTTCCTCCCGAGATCCAGTGCTGGGTGCGGGAGAGAGGCCCTGTGTGTTGCGCCCAGGCGGTGGCCCTGGCCGAGGATTTCCTCTGGATGCAAAGAGAGTCTTTGAGATGGGAACAACAGGTAAAGCCCCTTGTTTTTACACTAGATGCTCTACAACAGGGATGTCAAACTGAAGGCCTGCAGGCTGGATCCAGCCACGGGGTGCTTAAATCTGGCCCGCGGGGTCAGCCTGGAAATATCAAAGGACCGGCCCGCGGTGCCTCTGCCGGCCAAAACAGGCCGTGCGGATGCTTCGTGAGGCCTCTGTGTGGCCCGTTTTTGGCCTCCCTGGCCTCCAGCAGCAATCTGCTGGCCAAAAACGGGTTGCACGGAAGCCCCTTGGGGCCTGTTTTCGGCCGGGAGAGTGCTGCAGGAGGCCATGGAGGCCAAAAATGAGGCGCGGAGGGAGCTGCACGTGGCCCCCCCGTACCTCATTTTGGCCAGCGGTACTGCAAGAGGCATCCGACCCGTCTCCTTCTCGCTCCCCACCCCACCCCACCAGCCCGCGGCGGAGAAGTACAATGCTGATCCAGCCCTCAAAGAAATCCAGTTTGACACCCTTGGTTAACAACACTGGTTTCTAACCTTTCCGTGTGAGGGAGAGGGGATGGTTCCATGCGAGTGGCAGGCCTGCGCTCACACAAATGGAGTTTCGCAGGTGCACATGCTCGCCCACTGCTTGCGTGGCCCGGTTCCAGTAGGGCTGGGGCTCGGTGGGGTTGTCGACCCCTTCTGTACAGTCACTGGGAAAGTGGAGGAGCAAATGGCAGGATCTCCTTTCCTGCCCAAAGTTTCCCAAGGAAGCATCTGATGGGACTAGGAGAAAACATTTCATCTGTAAAGAGGGAATCAACCTATTCTCCAAAGCACCTGAGGGCAGGACAAGAAGCAACAGGTGGAAACTAATCAAGGAGAGAAGCAACTTAGAACTAAGGAGAAATTTCTTGACAATTAGAACAATTAATCAGTGGAACAACTTGCCTCCAGAAGTTGTGAATGCTCCAACACTGGAAGTTTTTAAGAAGAGATTGGACAACCATGAAACGGTACAGGGTTTCCTGCCTAAGCAGGGCGTTGGACTAGAAGACCTCCAAGGTCCCTTCCAACTCTGCTATTCTAATTCTACATTCTGTTTGGCATGTCTCTCTGCCTGTTGAATTTATATTTACCGACAAAAAAATAAAGGGAGATTAGTATAAATCTGTTTCAAGCTATTTAGCTCTCATCAGCTAGCCATACCCTTTTGGGGATTCGAACCCGAACTTGCATATTAGGTAGATGTATTAACCTCTAAGGCCACAGGCTCTCCTCGCTTTGTCAGCTATACCAGGGGAGAGATTGGGGCTGAAAGGCGAAAGCGGAAGCAATATGCTCCGTCCCATATTTGGTAGACCAGGTTGCCTCACCGGAAAAAACACTCCATGTCTCTGCCTTTGTAGGCAGTCCTCAGCCGACTGCTTCAGTGACTCCATCCAGCCACCTCGTTCTCTGCCGTCCCTTTCTTCTTTTGCCCTCAATCTTTCCCAGCATTAGTCTCTTCTCCAGTGAGTCCTTCCTTCTCATTAGGTGGGCAAAGTATTTGAGTTTCATCTTCAGGATCTGGCCTTCTAAACAGCAGTCAGGGTTGATCTCCTCTAGGACTGACCGGTTTGATCGCCTTGCAGTCCAAGAGACTTACAGGTTAATACATGTTAATTCAGGGGGGTGGACTTTCTCATGGGGCTAGCCAACTCCATGGTTGTCGGGTCCCCTGTGTCCCTCACGCAAGGCCACAAAGCTAGGATTTGACCCTTATGCGGAAGGCCAAAACACCGGAGTCTTTTCTCATCTCTGAGAGAAAGATGTTCCCCAGGGGCAGCAGCATAAAAGGCTCTCTTCTTTGACCCTGCCAATCAAAATTCTTTGATTAACGGGGTCTGTCGTGTGTCTTCCTTACCTGAGTATGTGGGAGAGGCTGAGGTGATGGGACAAACTGTCATTACCTTCCCTTCCCTGTTCCTAAGTTCTATTTTGTGTTTTGATCCCATCTGGGAATCACAGGGAACCACAGCAGATGTTCCCTCAGTCAAGGCAGAGCTGGACTCACCTGACAGCGGAGGGATTCTCCCAAGACCGTTCCTGGAGGAAGAGGAGAAAGCTGGAAATTCGTGCGGTGAGTAAAAAAACAAAGATTCCTGGGTTTCCATGGAATAAACCAAAGAAAAATAGGTATTTTTTCCCTCCCTGTGCACCAGCCGTTGGTGCCCTCCACATATTGCGGGCTGCAATCCTGCAGACTGATATCTTTTTTTAAAAAAAGTTTATTTTTATATTTTATATACATTTTGTAAAAAAATACATATATTTCCTGCTTTACAGATTTGTGTCAGGTTTTGATGCTATCTCAAAATAAATGAATTTCCAAACTGCCGATCTTTAAGGAAATTTTCTCTTTATTCGAGCCACAGCGATCTGATCCTGACTCTTTCGCGGTCAGTACTGACCTTTGCCCCCAATCCCTCCCTTTCCGATCCCCAGTTCTCTGCTTCTCATTGGCTATCTTCCAAGTCACTTTCCTGATTCTTTCTTCGTCAGATCACAGGAATGTCTTCCCCCTCTCCCATCTCCGAGGAGACAGAATCTTCAAAGGGATTTAGCAGGCAAAAGTTCAGTCTTCTCCTCCCTTTATTTATATGTCAGTGCTGGGACGTTGACAATTTGTTTCTCCTTAGTTCTAGGTTGCTTCTCTCCTTGAATGGATGGAAACTAGGAGAGAAACAACCTAGAACTTGGGAGAAATTTCCTAACTGTAGAACGATTTGTTTCCAGATGTTATACGGGCTCCATCACTGGAGCTTTTAAAGAAGAAACTGAACAGCCATTTGCCTTAAATGGTATAGGGCCGTGATGGCGAACCTATGGCATGCGTGCCACAGGTGGCACGCGGAGCCATATTAATGGGCACGCCAGCTCAGCTCTGGGGCGCATGCGCGCGCCGGCCAACTGATTTTCAGGCCTTCTGGGCCCACCAGAAGTAGGGAAACAGGCTGTTTCCTGCCTCTGGAGGGCCTGGCGGGGGGGGGAAGGCCCGTTTTTCTTTCTTACCTGGCTCCAGATCCTCTCTGTGTATCTGGGAATGGTGAAAACAGCCTTTCCCACTCCCTTGGAGGCCCTACGGAGGCTGAAAGGGCCCATTTCCCCACTCCCGGTGGGACAGGAAGTGACGTTTTTTCCTGTCCCCAGTCTCCAGAGACTCCTAGAGAGGCTCCTACAGACTCCTAGAGAGGCTCCTACAGACTCCTAGAGAGGTTCTGGAGGCTGGGAACAGCAAAAAATGTCACTTCCTGTCCCACCGGGAGTTGGGAAATGGGCTCTTTCAGCCTCCGTAGGGCCCCCAAGGGAGTGGGAAAGTCTGTTTTCGCCGTTCCCAGATACACAGAGAGGATTTGGAACCAGGTGAGAAAGAAAAACGGGCCTACCATGCCATCATGTGCCAGGAGCGGGGGGGGGGAGGGGGTTGCACACACATGCGCGTGGGCACGTGCACGCGTGACCCTCCCCTGCCCCCCCCTCTCCTGGCACGCGATGGCAAAAAGGTTAGCCATCACTGGTATAGGGTTTCCTGCCTGAGAAGGAGGTCAGACTAGAAGACCTCCAAGGTCCCTTCCAACTGTGTTATTCTATGTTTTCCTCCATTTTGCCCTCTTCAGTCCTCTCTTATTTCAGCAGGTGACGTCCGGCAGAGCAAGAATGGCAAGGGACTTTTGAAAGTCACCTCGGACAAAGCCGAGCCGCCAAAGCTGGAAGAAATACGCCCGCTGAGGAGGACAAGGAGAAACTACCTCACGGATAAGTGTAAGAAAAACATAACTTCCCAAGTGGCGGGATTCCATAACGCTTCCCTCCCCGAAGAGAAGCCGACCGAAAAGAGAAAATACAAGTGCAACGTTTGCGGGAAATTCTTCAGCTACAAGTCGAGCCTGAAGATCCATCTGAGAATCCACACCGGGGAGAAACCGTACAAGTGCTTGGAGTGCGGGAAGAGCTTCATCCGTAGCGACCTCCTGGCTTCCCATCAAAGGATCCACACCGGGGAGAAGCCCTACAGCTGCTCCTTTTGCGGCAAGAGCTTCTGCGACTTGTCCACGCTGATCAAGCATCGGAGGATCCACACGGGGGAGAAGCCGTACCTCTGCGTGGAGTGCGGCAAGAGCTTCAGCCAGAAGGCGATCCTCAACTCCCACCAGAGGATCCACACGGGTGAGAAACCCCACAAATGCGGCGAGTGCGGGAACAGCTTCAGCCGGAGCACTTACCTGGCTTCCCATCAGAGAGTCCACCTGGCGGAACAGCTGCATCAACATGCAGATTGTAACATCCCGGACAAGCCCAAACTGATTCACTCCCCCATCGTTCCTGTGAAGGAGAAGACCTTTAAACGCCCCGAATATGGTCAGAAGTTGAAGCCGCATTCGCCGTGCTTGGCCCACCAGAAAATGTACGCCTTGGGCAAAAGTATCAGCATTTTTGAATGTGGAGACAAGATTCAGTTGGAAGCCGTGGCTTGCGAGACTTCGGAGAAGCTGAGTGATTAGCCACTCGGCTGCTCTCCATTGGCAAGGGGATATTTTTCCCCTCCCCTGGCGAAATTTCCAAACCAGCTGGCATTAAAGCAATATGGGGAACTACCACAGTTTGGGGCGGGGAGTGGGAAAATATTTGAACTATTCGTCTCTTTCTGAGAGTTGTGCACTGAAGAGCTAAAAGGTGCTGCTTTTTGGGGATAGCAATAGCACTTAGACTTATATGTCGCTTCACAGTGCTTTGAAGCCCTCTCCAAGCGGTTTACAGAGTCAGCCTACGGGCCCCCAACAGTCTTGTATCGTGGTTAGCTATCGGTTTCTCAGGTTTCAGCCAAGGGCTTCCGCTGCCCAGCCTCCGTTGCACCTTGTTCTCAAGCCGAGAAACCTCTCACACCTGGCTGGCCATTTGATGAGTCTAAATCAGGGGTCTCAAAGTCAATTTCATTGAGGGCTGCATCAGGGTTGTGTTTGACCTCAAGGGGGCGTGGCCATCTTGATTTTACTCGTGTCGAGGGGTGTTCTGTCCCCGTCTCACACACGCACACAAACAGACAGCCGGGGGTTAAATAAGCTGGCAGACAACCAATTATTTCGATAAGAGGATTGGCAGCAACTCAGTAGCTGCTTGCCAAGAACTTTACTCATAAACAAAATACACACAGTTCAAGAATTGTCAAGTCCAGTCCGTAATTAAATCCAAGGCAGATAATGTTGTTTCCAAAGATGCAATGTGACTCGATAGTACTTAGTTTTGTCCGTCACAGAGTCTGAATTGCCACCTCACCCCCTTTTATACCCTGTGGGGTGTGGTCCAGTGACTCAGCTTAATCTCTGGCACGCCTCTTCTTCTGTTGCGCGCGCTTATCTCTGCGACGCTGCCGAGGATCCAGCCAAGACTCATCTCCCTCATTACTGTCCACTTGTGGCTGCATGGACGTGCTTGGCCCCAGGCCTATCTCTTGACCTTCGGCGGACACCGAAGGCATTGCCAGAGAGGCGAGTCCTGGAGAGGGAGGCCTTGCCAACTCCTCTCCTTCACTCTCGGAGTCCTCTCCTGCCGATGACACAGGCTCAGGTAACGGAGCCACAACAAGGGGCGCCGTTGGTGGCCCAATTGCTCTGCCATCAAAAACGGGCTCCCAAGCTCCGTTTTTGGCCACGACAGCCTCCTGCAACCCTCTGCCAGCGAAAACAGCCCTCCAGAGCTCTGTTTTCACTGGCAGAAGCACCGCAGGCCGGTCCTTTGCTGTTTCCAGGCTGGCCCCACGGGCCGGATCTGGTCTGTGGGCCTTGAGTTCGACACCCCTGGTCTAAATATTGGCCCTGGCAATCATTGGATATAGATAGTCCTCGATTTACAACACTTCTTTTACTGACTGTTCGAAGTTACAACGCCACCGAAAAAAAGTGACTTGGGACAGCTTTTCCCACTTAACGACCGTTGCAGCATTTTCCCCATGGTCACATGATTAAAATTCGGGCTCTTGACAACTGATTCATATTTATGACAGTTGCAGTGTCCCTGTCCTCAGTGTTCCAGGAAAACGCCAACTCCCAAGTAAAGACGCGGAAGCAAACATCTTTCCAAAGTTCTCCTTACTAGAAATGGCAAACTGGCACATCTGGGAAAAATCTGAATCTGAAAAGCCCGGGTTTTCCTTCAGTAAGTCAAAGCTCCCAAAACCATCCCCTTTTCCACCCAGTCGGTCACATGCTCCAATCAACGTCCGTTCCATCCCGATGCAACCCCCTGACTCCTCCTCCTCCAGATGCTGGATCGCCCTGACCTTGACCGACAGGAAAAATGCTATTATATCTACTAACAACCCTTCTCCTTAATCCCCTCTCCTACTTTCCCACACATGAGGAGGTGGCAGCATTGAAGCTTCCGGCCTAATATGGCTTCCAAAGCTGACAGTCCCAGGCTCACCTGATTCCCCTTTTGCGACCTTCTGTTAAGCAAAGTCAAGGTGGAAGCCAGATTCACTTAACGACCTTGTTACTAACTTAACAGCTGCAGTGATTCACTTAACCACTGTGGCAAGGAAGGGTCATAAAACGGGGCAAAATTCATTTAACAATTCTCTTGCTCGGCAACAGAAATTTTTTTTGGGGGGTGGTCGTAAGCCGTGCTGTCAGTCGGTGGAGAAATATTTTCAAAGTATTATGTTTTTATTAAAACAATACAAGCGGTCATTGGCTTTTCTGTCGTTTGAAGCAGGGCCTCTGGTGTCTTTTAGACACATGCTTTGGAATATGAGATGGGGAGGGTCACACAACACGGTTGCCACCGCAAGGGGCTGCCTATTCACCAACATCCCCCCCCCCAAAACTACAGGTCTTTTAACAAAAGGACATTTAGTGACTATTCAAAGTTATGATTTACCGTATTTTTTGGAGTATAAGATGCTCCGGAGTATAAGACGCACATTAGTTTTGGGGGAAGAAACCAAGAAAAAAAAAATTCTGCCTCTGCCTACCAGCATCCTTCGGTATTCATCTGGCTAGCATCTTTGCAGCAAACAGCAAACAGCCTGATTCAGCATGATTGGCGGTTGGATCGGCCTCCCGGAATACAGCCAATCAGCTGTTGCAGGCTGCGTGATTCGCCACAGTCTATCGCTGCCTCTGCGTGTCGCATTTTTGGCCTCTACACGCTCAGTTTTAGACCCGTTCCAGATCGCCACAGCACATTGCCACCCATCGCCGCAACCTGGAACCGGCTGAAAATGCGACACACGGAGGCCAAAAACAGGGCATGCGGAGGCCGAAAACGTGATGTGTGGAGGCCGAAAATACAACACGTGGAGGCGGCGATGTACTGTGGCGAATCACGCAGCCTGGAACAGGTCTGAAATCCGAGACCCAAGATTCCCGTCAAATTGAAATTTGGTAAATGATGTAAAACATTTTATGATGTAAAAAAATGACCCTAAAGCATTTTATGACCTAATACAAAAGGTCATAAAGCATTCCCTGTGGTCAACTCCTGATGCTTTGATTGTACTACACAGTTCAACATGGGCTACTTAGAACATAGAATAACAGAGTTGGGAGCGCCTTGGAGGTCTTCTAGTTTCCAACCCCCTCCCCATGCAGGAGATGCTATACCATTCTGGACAAATGACTGTCCGGTCTCTTCTTAAAAGCCTCCAGTGATGGAACCCCCCAACTTCTGAAGACAAGCTCTGGTTAATTGTTCTCATTAAGAAATTCCTCCTTAGTTCTAGTATTTCTATTCTATTCTATTCTATTCTATTCTATTCTATTCTATTCTATTCTATTCTATTCTATTCTATTCTTATTACTATTCTATTCTATTCCATTCCATTCTATTCCACTCCACTCCACTCCACTCCACTCCACTCCATTTTCTATTCCATTCCATTCCATTCCACTCCACTCCACTCCACTCTATACTCCACTCCATTTTCTATTCCATTCCACTCCACTCCACTCCATTTTCTATTCTATTCTATTCTATTCTATTCTATTCTATTCTATTCTATTCTATTCTTATTACTATTCTATTCTTATTCTATTCCGTTAATTTTGTTAATTCTATTAAATTTATTCTATTCTTTCTTTTTTTTTTTTAAATACTTTATTGAATTTTCCAATTTTTAAAAAGACAATGTACAATCACAATCTTGATCCGAGGTGCAATGTTTACACATTTCATAGATCAAACATTAAGTGAATTTCATCCATAGCTATACAATATACAGTTCTATACAATTCTCTACATTTCTATACAATTAAGTCCATTTCGGGTGTCTAACAAATTGTAGCCTATTTTCATATTTTTATCCTATTCTTTAACCAGTTATACCAAATTCCCCATACTTCATAGTACTTGAAGTTCTCTTCATTTTTTAGCTCGCTCGTCAATTTAGCCATCTCTGCGCACTCTAGAATTTTATTTATTAATGCTTCTTCAGAGGGGGTAGAGTTGGATTTCCAGAGTTTCGCAAAGGCTAATCTAGCCGCAGTAATAATTTGAATTGCCAATTGGGTTTTATTGTTGTCGAGACCGTCTTCAATCATACCTAGGAGGAAGGATTCCGGGGCCAGTGCTATCTCTTGTCCCATTATTTCCGAGAGCCAGAGTCGGATCTTTAACCAAAACTTTTTGGTCTCAGGGCAAGTCCACCACAGATGGTAAAAGGTGCCGACCGTCTTTCCACATTTCCAACATAAAGCAGAGGAATTTGGAAATATTTTGGCCAGCCTGTCTGGGGCTAGGTACCACCTATGCAGCATTTTGTAGTGATTTTCCCTGAATGTTACTGATTTCGTTATTTTGAGATTTCTGTTCCAAGCTATCTCCCAATCATTGAAATTTAGTCCATATCCTAAATTTTTCTCCCAAATGCTTAGCTGATTTTTAGCTATCTTCTCGGCTCTATCCTCATCTAATATAAAGTTATAGATTTTCGATAGCATTTTCTTATCTGGTCCCCAAATAATTTTGTCAAAATATCCATATTTCATTTCAATACCACATTTATCTCTATCTTCTTGAAATCTAGACTTAATCTGAAGATATTTCCACCAATCCAGCATAAACCCCTGGTCCCTCAGCACTTCCAAGGGCTTGAGCTTCCCTTCTTCATCCAAGATATCCTTATATGTGCCCATTTTATAGTTCCCTCTTCTATTTGGGGCCACTAGAGCATCCATAATCGACAACCAGCTAGGAACCTTGGTATATATCTTCTGTCTAATTTCCAGCCATGTACGGATCAATGTCTCTCTAATTTTATGTTTATAGAAATGAGTTTTCTTCCTATCCTTTATGTCCCAGAGATAAGCGTGCCATCCTTCAAGGAGATCGTGTCCTTCTAGTGTCAAGATTCTACCTTCTTGTAATTTGATCCACTCCTTTATCCAAATTATTTTTGCCGCCTTTTGATATGATTCCCAGTCAGGGAGCCCGAACCCTCCCAAATTTATTCTATTCTTATTCCTAATCTATACTTGTTCTTACTGCTATTCTTTTCTGCCAACCTAGCAGTTCGAAAGCACGTAAAAAATGCAAGTAGAAAAATAGGGACCGCCTTTGGTGGGAAGGTAACAGCGTTCCGTGCGCCTTTGGCGTTTAGTCATGTCGGCCACATGACCACGGAGACATCTTCGGACAGAGCTGGCTCTTCGGCTTTGAAACGGAGATGAGCACCGCCCCCTAGAGTCAGGAACGACTAGCACATATGTGCGAGGGGAACCTTTACCTTTACCTTACTAATTCTATTCTATTCTATTCTATTCTATTCTATTCTATTCTATTCTATTCTATTCTATTCTATTCTATTCTATCCCTATCCCTATCCCTATCCCCTACCCCTACCCCTACCCCTATCCCACTATCCTGCTCTATTCCATCCCATCCTATCCTATCATTTCGTAATCCTAATCCTATTTCTATTCTGAATATCTTTGTGACTTCTTAAGAACTTTTCAGGTACAGTAGTGGTGCTGCCATTAATGAAAGCACTGAAGAATCTGGTAAGGAAATGTCGCCGAAACGTTGACCCAACAATTCACCGATTGTCTAGTAACCAAGAAAGTTAAGGCAAAGCCGTTTCGAGTTCCTTTCTCACGCCGTCGTCTTTCCCCCAGACATGTTTTGCTGACACTATCTGGGAATTTTTGCCAAGGTCATCTCTGCCCTCCTCTTCATGTACTGGTACTCCTCGACTTACGTACAACCAATTGTTTAGTGGCCCTTCAAAGTTACAACAGCACTGAAGAAAACACACCATTTTTCACACTTGATGACCATTGCAGCCTCTGCATAGTCATGTAGAGGCGAGGTGGTGCAGTGGTTAGAGTGCAGTACTGCAGCTACTTCAGCTGACTGCTAGTTCGGCAGGTCAGCGGATCAAATCTCACCGGCTCAAGGTTGACTCAGCCTTCCATCCTTCCGAGGTGGGTAAAACGAGGACCCAGATTGTTGGGGGCAATATGCTATTTAGTATACTGTCGATTGTTGTAAGCCGTCCAGAGTCCTCGGAGAATGGGCGGCATAGAAATATGACAAATAAATACATAAATAAATAAATAAATAAATAAATAAATAAATGTGATTAAAATTCAGACACTTAGCAACTGACTCCTACTTACGACGGTTGCTGTGTCCCAAGGTCACGTCATCCCCTTTTGCGACCTGACAAGGGAAATCAATGGGGAAGCCAGATTCACTTAACAACCATGTTCCTAACTTAACCGCAGGAATTCACTTAACAACTATGGGAAGAGCGGCCATAAAACGAGACAAAACTTATTTAACAGCTGTCTCGCTTCGCCACAGACACGTTGGGCTCGATTGTGGTTGTAAGTCGAGGACTACCTGTATTTTTTTTTTTTTTGAAAAGTTTTTTTTTATTTTTTAAATAAAAAATACCTGTATTTCTTAATTTGGCAAAATTGTTACCTTTTGTCCTTGTTAGTAAAAGATTAATTTTCTCAGAAGACCTGTACAGGTAGTCCTCACTTAACAACCAGTTGGTTAGTGATGGAAGTTAGAAACGGTCCTCCCCAGAGTGACCTATGACCTGGTTCTGGAGTTGCGATGGCCGCGCCCCACCTCCACGGTCATGTGACCGCATTATGGGTGTGTAACATTTAACCACTGTCTTGTTTAGCGACAGAAATTTTGCGCTCCAATATGGTCGGACGTCGAGGACCACCTGTAACTGGTGAGAAATATTTTTGGATTTTTCTCTCTTGCAATGGCAAATGTGCTTTTTCCCCACATCCTTCTGGCTTTCCGCATTGCTTCTAACTTGGAATGACCAAACAGATGCAAAATTAAATTCTCCTCAGAAAGATGTTGGGTGCAATTTGTTTGCATTCTCACAATCTTCTCCTGGATTAGCGACAATCTAGAATAGAATAGAATAACAGAGTTGGGAGGGACCTTGGAGGTCTTCTAGTCCAACCCCCTGCCCAGACAGGAAACCCCACACCACTTCAGACAAATAGTTATCCAACATCTTAAAAATTTCCAGTGTTGGCGCATTCACAACTTCTGAAGGCAAGTTGTTCCACTTATTAATTGTTTTGACTGTCAGGAAATTTCTCCTTAGTTCTAAATTGCTTCTTTCCTTGATTAGTTTCCATCCATTGCTTCTTGTTCTACCCTCAGGTGCTTTGGAGAATAGCTTGACTCCCTCTTCTTTGTGGCAACCTGTTCTGCCCCAGCTCCGGATTCCCAAGGATTGTGACACACACCAACGGTCCTTATCAAAGTTACAACATACCAAGAATAAACAAAGTCCGGCAAAGGTTGGCAACCAGCCCAGAAGACAAGATACGATAAGACACTCACTCTTCAAAAATGCTCTTTAATAATTACACGTCGTTTCCAGCAAGAAATTACTAAGTGCGTGGGACTTAAATAGGCTAAGGGAGTGGCCAATTATCCTCAAACCTTACTCTCGAGGAGACCTCCTCCTCCTGAGTAGCCACTCCTGCCTTTTGGCAGCCCTGCGTGCTCGAGCATTGAGGAGAGGCTCCTCCACTTCGCTCTCTCCACTTGAAGGAGCCTCTGGAGGTTCTGAAGGCCCTGGCTGAGTTTCTGCCTCTGGCACCACATCCTCTTCGGCCTCCTCGCTGTCCGACGTGAGCGCCGATTGCACAGGCTGCTGGTGCAACCCCACACCAGTCTCCTCGTCGTCATCGGGATCAGCCATGATCCGCTCAGGCCACTGGCGGGCCACAACACAGCTCCTGAGATGTTGGAAGACTGCTATCATGTCTCCCCTAGTCCTTCTCTTCATCAAACTAGACATACCCAGTTCCTGCAACCGTTCTTCATGTTTTAGCGTCCAGTCCCCCTAATCATCTTTGTTGCTCTTCTCTGTTTCTCTGTGTCACCAATGAATTGAACTAGATCTTTAGACTGCTCAATGCCGATTGTCCCAAATTTCAAGAGAAAAGATTACAGGTAGTCCTCAACTTAATGACCAAAATCAAGCCCCAAATCAGAGCCCCAGCTCTGAAGCTTTCTTGCCACGGTTGTTAAGTGAATCACTGCAGTGGTTAAAATTTAGAAAGACGGTTGTTAAGTGAATCTGCTTTTCCCATTGACTTTGCTTGTCGGAAGGTCGCAGAAGGGGATTGCATGACCCCCGGGACACTACAACAGTCACAAATGTGAGTCAATTCCCAAGCATCTGAATTTTGATCACGTGACCACGAGGCTGCTGCAACAGTCATAAGTGTGAAAAACGGTCGTAAGCCACTTTTTTTCAGTGCCGTTGTAACTTTTTTTTTTTTTAATTAGATTTATATGCTGCCCTTCTCCAGAGACTCAGGGCGGCTTACAGTGCGTTAAGCAATAACCTTCATCCTTTTGTATATTTTTATACAAGGTCAGCTTATTGCCCCCACAAACTGGGTCCTCAATTTACCTACCTTTGAAAGGATGGAAGGCTGAATCAACCTTGAGCCTGGTGAGATTCGATCTTTAATTGCAGACAGCTGGTGTTAAATTACAGTGCTTAGTCTGTTGAGCTATGAACTTTGAATGGTCACTAAGTGAACTGTGGTAAGTCGAGGACTACCTGTATTCTTCCCAACCATATTACAGAGCTGGCATTTTTTTTCCCTCAGACCTCCCAACCCCCACCCACCCCCGATAATGGAGGGAGCAAAGAAGGTACATTCTGCAATAAGGGTTGGGTGATGGGACATGCAATGATTGGCTCTTAGAACTATCAGTCGACATGTGGCGGCACCGAGCACCGCCTCTGTTTGTCTCAAAGGCGGGAGTGAATGGAGGGGGCTATTGGAAGGACGGCCGGGGGGGCACCCTGAACCCTGAAACTATTTTGTATTTTTTATATGGGTTTTTTTTTTTCATTTTTAATAAGGGACTTTTTTATATTTTTGTAATTATTATTTCTGTATGTTCTCTTTAATGGTTACTGTACTGCACCCAGAGATGCTTCTTGTGAGATAGGCGGCGGTATAAATGTGATTAATAAATAAATAAATAAAAGAGCCTTGGTAGTACAGTGGTCTAAAGCACCCTGTTATTAAGACCAGCTGCCTGCAATTACTGCAGGTTCGAATCTCGCCAGGCTCAAGGTTGACTCAGCCTTCCATCTTTTCAAAGGTAGGTAAAATGAGGACCCAGATTGTGGGGGCAATAAGCTGACTTTGTATAAATATACAAAAGGATGAAGGCTATTGCTGAGCACATTGTAAGCCGCCCTGAGTCTCCGGAGAAGGGCGGCATATGAATCAAATAAATAAATAAATAAAATGTCCATGTGCGGGAGAGAAGGTTTATGCATCCTCTAGGGGTGGGGGTCTCCAACCTTGGCAACTTGAAGACTTGTGGACTTCAACTCCCAGAATTCCTCAGCCTGGATTAAAAAACCTCAGGGACCACTGAGCTGTGGGGGGGGATTAGACTCTGGATCTCCCCACTCCTAGTCTAGCCCCTTCCTCATGACTGCCCATAGATCTGGGGCTGGCAGTGGTGGGATTCAAATTTTTTTCCTACCGGTTCTGTTGGCATGGCTTGGTGGGCGTGGCAGGGGAAGGATACTGTAAAATCTCCATTCCCTTCCCACTCAAGGGGAAGGATTTACTACAAAATCCCCATTTCCTCCCGATCAGCTGGGACTCCAGAGGCAGTGAATAGATGGGGGCGGGGCAAGTCAGAGGTGGTATTTACCAGTTCCCCGAACTACTCAAAATTTCCCCTACTGGTTCTCCAGAACTGGTCCGAACCTGCTGAAACCCACCTCTAGCAGGTAGACTGACTGAAAATCCCCTAAGAACACACGCTGGGAAGCATGGACCAATAAGGACTTAAGAGACGCAAGCCAAACAGATGTATGTCTTGAATGAGTGGGACCAGGTTAAAGACGAGAAGAACCAGAATAAAAATAATGCAGATATCATTGTTACAATATAGTTCATATTTATTCCCAATGGATCGAATCATTTCTTCCTTCTAGCATATTCAAAGTTGGTGGCCGTTTTGGAAAGGCTCAGGAGCAGCAGATCGAACGCTTAGGAAAGGGGGCGTTCGCTCTGCGTATTTCAGTTTTGACTATTGTTCCTATAAGCTAGTATTTCTCAATGTTGGCCACTTTTAAGATGTGTGGACTTCAACTCCCAGAATTCCACAGCCAGCATGAAGCATTCTGGGAGTTGAAGTCCACATATCTTAAAGTTGCCGGAGGTTGAGAAAAATTGCTATAGACAGATGATCAAGAGACACCAATTTATAATATCGCAGTGGGTATGACTGCTGTAGAAGTGTACAGGTAGTCCTCCATTTACGAGCATAGTCGGGGCCAAAATTTAAGCAAAACATGTTAAATGAGTCGTGCCTAATTTTATGACTTTTTTTGCTTCAGTTACCGACGGTTGTTAATAATGTTCGAAGTTACAACGGCACTGAAAAAAGTGACATGATCATTTTTCACACCTATGACCTTGGACACGTGCTCCATGGTCACATGCTTTACATTCAGATGCTTGACAACTGATTCATATTCTGACGGTTGCAACATCTTGTGGTCACATGATCATCTTTTGCGACGTTCTGACAAGCAGTCAATGGGGAAGCCAGATTCACTTAACAACTGCGTTACTAATTTAACAGTGTGGTGCGGTGGCCTAGAGGTGGAGCTTTCGCCACACAATCAGGAGGCTGTGAGTTCGATCCTAGGTAGAGGCTGATATTTCTCTCTCTGGGCACAATGAGAATATATCTGCTGCAAAACTCCACATTGGCGACCGGGAAGGGCATCCGGCCAGTAAACACTCAATTGCCCCGACTCCACCCCACAAAGGATTATGGGGTCATTAAACAACACACGTTCCCTTAACAAAGGAGGCAAGAAAAGTCGTAAAACGGGGCAAAACTCACTTAGCGACATAAATTCTGCACTCAATTGTGGTCGTAAGTCGAGGACTACCAGTATTAAGCCTTAGAAATGGCAGGCCTTTGAAACTGGAACGCAACCGTCGCGTTACAAGGAGAGGTTAATTTGTGGGCTTCCTCTCCCGTATGGATTCTCTGATGTCTAATAAGATTGGTGCTTTGGCTAAAACTCTTCCCACACGCCAGGCATTTATAGGGTTTCTGCCCCGTGTGAATCCTCTGGTGTTTAACGAGTCCCGACTGATCGCAAAAGGTTTTGTTGCAGTCCGAGCATTTATACGGTCTCTCGCCGGTGTGAATTCTTTGGTGCGACGTAAGGTGGGTGCTCTGGCTGAAACTCTTCCCGCACTCCAAGCATTTGTACGGCCTCTCCCCCGTGTGAATGGTCTTGTGGTTAATGAGGCCCGACTGGTTGCAAAAGCCTTTCCCGCAATCCGAGCATTTGTACGGCTTTTCCCCCGTGTGGATTCTCTGGTGGGAGGTCAGGCTGGTGCTGTGGCGGAAGCTCTTCCCGCACTCGGAACATTGATAGGGTTTCTCCCCCGTGTGGATCCTCTGGTGTTGAATCAGGCTGGTGCTCTGATTGAAGGTCCTGCCACAGCTTGGACAACTGTACGGTCTCTCTCCCGTGTGGGTCCTCTGATGGGAGGTCAGTTGGGTGCTTTGACTAAAACCTTTCCCACATTCTAAGCATTTGTAGGGCTTCACACCAGAGTGGAGAAGCTGATATTCGGCAAAGTTGCCGTTCTGATGAATACTCATCCCAAAACTTGGGTTCTTGTTGGGTTTCTCCCCTAAGTGGCTTCTCCACTGGTCGCCCTGGCAATGTTTCTTCCTCTCTTCCATTGATTGTCCCCGAATGATGACTTCATGGACATCTTCCTCCTGGCAGGAAATGGCGACGTCACTCCTTTTCTCTAGAGGGATCCCCTCAGATCTGTTTGATCCGCCCTGCTTCCGTAAGTTTTCTTTGAGGACTTCGATAGGGTTGGTTTCTGAAGGCATCTCACAAGGTTCCATCTCGTCTTCATTCTTCATTTCTCCCACTGGAATAAAAAGAGAAAGAGATTAAAACAGTGGAAGAAGCTGTGCCTCAGATGAAGGGCCCACCCTTGTTTGTTTTAGGCCATCTACATCTAAAACGCAAACAAACCATGGTTACAAAATAATGGTTTCCAGATGGTTACTAAACTTTAGGTTTAATCTGAGATTTGAACCCTCAGCCTAGCTCCGTGGTGGCGAATCTATAGCATGCATGCCAGAGGTAGCACTCAGAGCCCCCTCTGTGGGCACGCAAGCCGTCGCCCCAACTCAGCTCTGCCATGCATGCGCGCACGCCTTCCGCCAGCCAGCTGGTCTTCGGGTCTCTGCCACCCATGCGCAGGGGGTGGGGGGCATGTGGGTGGGGCACACGCCAGTTGGTGGGTTTCACTTACCTTTGCTACCAGTTCACTCGTGCATGTGCAGAGTGTATTTGATGACATCCGGACGGGTGGCGGAGCCTCCTGCCACCGCCGCTACCAGTTTGCCCGAACTGGGGCAAACCAATAGCAACCCACCACTGGCACATGCGCATGTGGGGCGGGGGCATGTGGGGAGGTGCACGAGCATGCGCGTGGGAGTGGGTGTTGTGGCTCCGTTACCTGAGCCTGTGTTATCGGCAGAAGAGGAGAGGAGTTGGCAAGGCCTCCCTCTCCAGGACCCTCCTCTCTGGCAATGCCTTCGGTGTCCGCCGAAGGGCAAGAGATAGGGCCGGGGCCAAGCACGTCCATGCAGCCACAGGTGGACAGTAATGAGGAAGATGAGTCTTGGCTGGATCCTCAGCAGCGTCACAGAGATAAGTGTGCGCAACAGAGGAAGAGGCGTGTCAGGGATTAGGCTGAGTCATTGGACCACACCCCACAGGGTATAAAAGAGGGTGTGGTGGCCGGTTCAGCTCTGTGACAAGCAAAAAACGGATATCGGACGACCTTCTTTGTATTTACTGGACTTTGTTGATTATTGTGTATTAGTCCGGCTTTGTTCCCGGACGAAGGGAGAAACTCCCTCCTTGTGAGTAAAGAATACCTGGCAGCCAGCCACTGAGTTGCTGCTAATTCTGATACCAGATAAACTGTTGTCGGCTGAGTTCTTTAACTGTTGCCTGTCTGTGGGGGTGCGTGTGTGAGATGGGGACAGAACAGTGAGGCGCATGTGGGGGGGCCACTCAGAAATTGTGAATTCTCCAATACTGGAAGTTTTAAAGAAGAGATTGGACGACCATTTGTCTGAAATGGGATAGGGTTTTCTGCTTGAGCAGGGGGTTGGACTAGAAGACCTCCAAGGTCCCTTCCAACTCTGTATTGCTTGATATTCTCCAAAGCACCAGGAGGCAAGACAAGAAGCAATGAATGGAAACTAATCAAGGAGAGAAGCAACCTAAAACTAAGGAGACATTTCCTGACAGAACAATTAATCAGTGGAACAATTTGCCTCCAGAAGTTGTGAATGCTCCAACACTGGAGGTTTTTAAGAAGAAATTGGATAACAATTTGTCTGAAATGATATAGGGCAGTGATGGCTAACCTTTTTGCCACTGCGTGCCAAAAGCGGGGGGAATGCAGAGGGGTTGCGTGTGTGCGTGACCACACCCATAATTCTATGCGCCCCACCCCTGCGCATGTGTGCGTGACCCCCCCCACTGCGCTTTTCTCGCTTTTGGCATGGTAGGCCCGTTTTCCGCCCTCCCCAGGCTCCAGAGCCTTTCTAGGAGCCTGGGGAGGGCGAAAATGGCCTTCCCCACCCCACTGGAGGCCTTCCGGAGGCCGGAAATGGCCTGTTTGCTGACTTCCAGTGGGCCCAGAAGTCCCGAAAATCAGCTGGCCGATGTGCGCATGTGTGCCAGAGCTGAGCTCGCGTGCCCACCGATATGGCTCTGCGTGCCACCTGTGGCACGCGTGCCATAGGTTCGCCATCACAGATATAGGGCTTCCTGCTTGAGCAGGGGGTTGGACTAGAAGACCTCTAAGGTCCCTTCCAGCTCTGTACTGATTGATATTCTCCTGTTGTGGCTCCGTTGCCTGAGCCTGGGCTATCGACAGATGCAGACTCTGAGAGTGAGGGAGAGGAGTTGGCAAGGCCTCCCTCTCCAGGACCCTCCTCTCTGGCAATGCCTCCGGAGGACACCAAAGGCCAAAAGATAGGCCCAGAGCCAAGCACGTCCCCGCAGCCACAGGTGGACAGTGACGAAGGAGATAAGTGCTGGCTGGATCCTTGGCAGCGGCGCAGGGAGAAGCGTGTGCAGCAGAGGGGAAGGCATGCCAGAGATTAGCTGAGTCACTGGACCACACCCCACAGGGTATAAATGTGGGTGTGGTGGCCGGTTCAGTTTGTAACGAGCAAAAACTAGAAATAATCCATGATCTCTGCGTTACTGGACTTCTGCCTGCCTTGTCAGACTGCATTTGGACTAATCCTTGTATTGCGGAAACTTTGCCTGCTTTATCGGAATGCTTGCAGTCTAATCTTTGTTTTGTGTGAGTAAAGTCTGAATTGGCAGCTAGCCACTGGGTTGCTGCCAGCTTTATCTTCAAAGATTTTGTCGTGTGGCTTATTAACTCCGGGCCATCCGTGTGGGTGCGTGTGTGGTACGGGGACAGAACATCTCCAAAGCACTGAACGGCAAGACAAGAAGCAATGGATAGGAGCTAATCAAGGGGAAAAGCAACCTAGAATTAAAGAGAAATTTCCTGACAGTCAGAACGATTATCCAGTAGAACCCCAGAAGTTGTGGATTTTGGAGGTTAACAGTGGAGGTTTTAAGGCTAACACTGGAGGTTTTAAGACCCTACTTAAATAGGGGGTTGGACTAGAAGACCTCGAAGATCCCTTCCAACTCTGTAATTCTATTATTCTCCTTTCCCAACATGAGGTCCAGAGATCTTCAAAAGATGAGTGTGTGTGATGGATGATGGGCATGTGGGGATAGGACCAAGGCCTACAGGGATCCAATGGAGTGCAATGGAGGGAGAGAAAGCTTGGGGGGGGGGGCTGCAGTGTCCCTATGGTTGGTCGTAAGGGCGAATGACCGCAGGGGCTCTGCAGTGGATGTAACCTTGAGATGGGATCATAAGTAGCTTTTAGGGGGTCTGTCATAACTTTGAATGGCTACTATGTGACTGGTTGTTAAGCAGTCCTCGACTTATTTATTTATTTATTTATTTGTTTGTTTTAATTTGTATACCGCCCTTCTCCAGCAGGACTCAGGGCGGTGAACAGCCAGAATAAAACAGAACATACAAAATTTAAAAACAGTTTAAAAATAATTAAATATTTTTGGCCACAATTTAAAACAACCCAATTAAAATCAATTCAATTTAACCAAAACAGTGGGATCAAGCCAGCCCGGCTAGGTGAAATAAATAAGTTTTCAGACGAAAAGTCGGACGAAAGGTCCGGACTTACGACCGCAATTGAGCCCCAAATTTATGTTGCTAACTGAGACATTTGCTCAATGACGTTTGCCCCATTTTACCACCTTTCTTGCCCCCGTTGTTAAATGAATCATCGGAGTTGTTAAGTTTGCAACGTGGTCGTTAAGCGAATCTGGCTTCCCCGTTGACTTTGCTTGTCAGAAGTTGGTGAAATCTGATCGCCTGACCTCAGGACACTGCAACCGTCATAAAGATGAACCAGTTGCCAAGCCTCTGAATTTTGATCACGTGGCCACGGGGATGCTGCGTTGGTCATAAGTGTGAAAAACAGTCATAAGTCATTACAACAGCATTTCAGTACTGTTGTAAGTTTAGTCACTAAAATGAACTGTTGTAAGTCGAGGACTACCTGTACGCCACTGAAATGTCCACCCTTCTGGCCCTAGAATAAAAGATTCTGAAGTTCTATCAGATAGAATCGATTGCTGGCAACCAAGGTTAGCTCAGCCAGGGGAATCACAGAAGGTTCCCCTTCTGATCCAATGGCCTGGCATCCCGCTCACCGTCTTCCTGCTCAGTTGCGGCATACAGCTGCCTCTGCTCCGTATCAGGGGGAGCCTGGTTGGCCTCAGAGGAATGCAGGGAGCTCTCTTTGATGTTGACCTGGAATTAGCAGAGAAGGAACAGTTTTAGGATAGGACAACAGAGCTGGGAAATGTCGACTGTGTCCTTTGCCACATGGATAGTGCTCAAACCCCAAGCTGTAGGTATTTATTCCCAGATGGGATTGAGTTGGTCTCCCATTGAGTTCATTTTTCATCTCTCTCTCTCTCTCTCTCTCTCCCTTCTCCCCCCCATCTCCATCTCTCTCTCTCTCTCTCTCTCTCTCTCGTTTCCCCGAAAATAAGACCCTGTCTTATATTTTTTTGAATCTCTTGTGGCCCGTACGCGGCCTGTGCAACTAGTAGCTGATTCAGACAGCGAGGAGGATGGTGTGGTGATTCGCCAGTAGCCTGTGCAGCTGGCACTCGAGTCAGACAATAAGGAGGCTGGAGAAGATGTGGTGCCAGAGGCGGGGATTCAGCCAGGGCCTTCAGAACCTCCAGAAGCTCCCTTAAGTGAAGAGGACGAAGAGGAGGAGCCTCTTCTCGATGCACGGGCGCGTAGAGCTGCCAAAAGGCAGGAGTGGCTCCTCAGGAGGAGGTCTCCTCAAGAGTAAGGCTTGGGGCTAATTGGCCACTCCTTAGCCTATTTAAGGAGGAATGCTGACTGAAGCAATTTGCAGGAAACAACTTAGTTCACATACCTTCCTGTCTTGTCTTGCTTATCTTATCAGCTTCCTGCAAATTGTTTCTGGGCATTCTGCCAACCATAGTAAGCTTTCAGTTATTATTCTTTGAATCCTTGGCGGCTGTTAATGCAGTTAATTAACAGCCGTTGTAAAAGACTAGTTTATTTAGTAAACTAAGGTTTGAATGGACTTTGTGTGTGCTGCGTTCTTTGGGGCCGTAGCTGGGGCAGAACAGAACCCTGAAATAAGCATTTGGCCTTATTGCCATACGCTCAAGAGCCCAATTGGGCTTATTATCAGGGGATGTCTTATTTTGGGAGAAACAGGGTATCTACCTACCTACCTACCTACCAGCTATCATCTCTCTCACTCACTCTCTCTCTCTCAAGGGCCACCATCAGTGAGCTGTTGGACAGCATTACTTGCTCTGTTGTGTGGATGTTTGGGTGGTTCAGGGGTGGGAAATTTGTGGTGGGTAGGAGTGTGTTTGGGGATTGTTATGTGTGTTGGACCTGGTCTTGGGGTGTTAAGTGAATTTCGTTGTATGGGTATACTGTGTATATACGTACAATGACAATAAAGTTGTTGTTGTTGTTGTTGTTGTTGTTGTTGTTGTTGTTGTTGTTATTATTATTATTATTATTATTATTATTATTATTATTATTATTATTATTATTTAATCTTTAGTGAGATTCACAGCCTTTGAGGCTGGTTAATAGCTCAGCAGCTCGAGTCCTAACCAAGGACCTAGGAACTGTTAAGGTATCGTCGGAGGATGTAAGCTTTTCCGAGTAAGGTGGTTTTTTGTAGAGTCCAAATGTTCAAGTCCGGCAAATTGAGAATTTCTAAATAGCGGGGTAGCCCTTTGGGTATTGCTCCAAGGGCTCCAATTACAATCGGGACAACACACGATTTCTTTTTCCACAGTCGCTCAACTTCAATTTGCAAGTCCCGGTACTTTGTGATTTTTTTCTTGCTGCTTATCTTCAATCCGTGCATCACCAGGTATTGCAATGTCAATGAACCATACTTTTTTCTTTTCAACTATTGTTATGTCAGGTGTGTTGTGGACCAAGTGCCTGTCAGTCTGAATCCTGAAGTCCCACAAGATCTTGAGTTTCTTATTATTTATTATTATTATTATTATTATTATTATTATTATTATTATTATTATTATTATTATATAATATAATAATATTATTATATTATTATATTTATATAAATAAATCTTATTTATTATTATTATTATTCTTATTCTTATTATTCTTATTAATATCTCTATATCTATCATCTATCTCTGTATCTCTCTCTCTCTGTTTATCTATAGCGCGTCAATCCAGAGCTCGATTCTCGGCTACAGAGGCCTTTCCTGATGGCCTCTGATGGCGAAATGGAGGCCAGGGGGCAACGCATGCGAGCCGCGGCAAGCCACAGAAGAAGTTGGCCAGCAGCGGCCACATGGGCTCCTGCTGGGTGGGGCTGTCGGTGCCACTGCCACGAGGTGAAAGACATCCCCCCCAAGAAGACCTGGTGCCTCTTTTGGAGGTTATATATATATATCTATAAGACCAGGTCTTATTTTCGGGAAAACATGGTATCTACTGTATATCTTCCTTTCTCTCTCTCTCTCTCTCTGGAAATCCTTAGTTCTGAAACCTAGAAACATCTTTCTTTTTTCTTTTTTCTTTTTTTTTTCTTTTTAATTTGATTTATATGCCGCCCTTCTCCGGAGACTCAGGGCGGCTTACAGTGCGTTAAGCAATAGCCTTCATACTTTTGTATATTTTTATACAAAGTCAGCTTATTGCCCCCACAAACTGGGCCCTCAATTTACCTACCTTAGAAAGGATGGAAGGCTGAGTCAACCTTGAGCCTGGTGAGATTCGATCTTACTTTAATTGCAGACAGCTGGTGTTAAATTACAGTGCTTAGTCTGCTGAGCTATCCAAGGTCCTTTTGTGTAAGGATGCTGGTATTTTGACTGCAATTGGAGAACAGGTTTACTCTTAATGGATAAAATGGAGGTGTCTGATAGATACTTCGAATTACAACTCCCATTAATCTTAGACATTGGCTGCTCTGGGACTGATGGGACTTAGTCCCTTAAACCTCTAGAAAACAGCTCAATGGGGAAAGCTGAGAGAGGACATTTGGTAGCTGGCCATCATTGGTACATTAGCCAGTTGAAGCCAAAGCCAAAGAGAAAACAAGCCAAAGATTAAAGGAAGGAAGAATTCAACAGATGCTGGATCAAGGCTCAGATGATTCTCCAGGATGTCTGGGAAGCAGGAGCAGCTACAATGCCCTTTACTTGACATCTGGTTATCATTACCTTCTCCTCAGCTTCTTATATGTTTTGACTTGCCTCCTTTGACTTAGCCTGCACCAACTTCATTACTACAACTCTGAAGCCCAAAACGTAGCTCCAATCAAGACAGAAAACTCTAAGTCAAGCGAGATATCTTTCAATGAGTATCTTTAAGACTTCTTGGTCGATGTGGAGACTTCTAAACCAGAGTCCCACACAGTCTCACCTGCTTTCCACGGCGGTCCTTGGTCTCTCGTTGACGCTGAAGAAACTCTTCGGCCAGGCCCACCGCTTGGGAGCAAGTCTCGGGGCTGCATTCCCGTACCCAACTCTGGATCTCCAGGGGCAGGATCGCCAGGAATTGCTCCAGGATCAACAGCTCCAGGATCTGCTCCTTAGAGTGTCTCTCCACTTTCAGCCACCCGTAACAAAGATCTTGGAGCTGATTGTATGCTGCGGTAGGTCCCTCAGCCTCCTGGTAACAGAAATGCCGGAAGTGCTGACGATGTTTCTCCCTCTGTAGGGCGTCCCCTTGCAAGATGGCTGCCTTCACTTTCCCATAATCTATCCTATCCTTGGCCACCATTCCGTCAAAGACCTGTTGGGTCTCTCCACGGAGTGCTGGCAAGAGTCTGGCTACCCATTCCTCCCTGGGCCACTGGCAAGCTTTGGCCACTTGTTCAAAGGAATCCAAGAATGCCTTGGCATTGTCCCATGGTGTAGGCACCTCTGCCAAGGGTGCGGATCTCCAGGTGGAAAAAGGTGACTCCATTTTCTTCAGAAACATCTGCAACTGGGCTTCCCAGCATCTCGTCGCACCCTCTCTTGCTTCTTCTTTCACCCAATAGGATCTTGTCCTTGGTAGGTGGTGTCCAGTAAACCCAGAAGGCACTGATCTCAACAGTGGACTTCCTACTTCTTCATCTGCCTGGGGTTTGAGGGCAACAACCTTCTGGAGGCCACCAAGGGCTTCTCTGAACTCTTCTGGGTCTTCTTCTTTTGGCCAGACGTGGAAGGGGTTCTCTTCCATTTTAATCCGGTGATGTAAGAATCTCCAAAAATAAGTTCTCGGGAGTCACGCTTTTCTCCTGAACTCCTGTTTGGAAAACAGAGGAAAACTAAGTTAGAGATGAACAGATGTCTTTACTCAAAATCCTGGGTGTCAGATAGTATATTAAAAAAGGTAAAGGTTCCCCTTGCACATATGTGCTACTTGTTCCCGACTCTAGGGGGCGGTGCTCATCTCCATTTCAAAGCTGAAGAGCCAGCGCTGTCCGAAGACGTCTCCGTGGTCATGTGGCCGGCATGACTAAATGCCAAAGGGGCACGGAACGCTGTTACCTTCCCACCAAAGGTGGTCCCTATTTTTCTACTTGCATTTTTTACGGGCTTTCGAACTGCTAGGTTGGCAGAAGCTGAGACAAGTAACGGGAGCTCATCCTGTTATGCGGCACTAGGGATTCGAACCGCTGAACTGCCGACCTTTCGATCGACAAGCTCAGCATCTTAGCCACTGAGCCACCGTGTCCGCTCTAGACAATATATTATGTATGGTTAAATAAGGAAAATCATTTTCTTTATAACTGCATCATTCTGTAATATATATTCACACACATGGATCTATTTATGGATAACTGAGACAATAGGTAATTCTCGACTTACAGCACTTTGTTTAGTGACCGTTTGAAGTTACAATAGCACTGAAACAAGTGACTCATCACCATTCTTCACACTTACAACCGTTGCCGCATCCCTGTAGTCACGTGATCAAAATTCAGACGCTTGGCAACTGACTCCTATTTATGACGCTTGCAGTGTCCTGGGGTCACGTGATCCCTTTTTGCGACCTTCTGAGAAGCCAAGTCAATAGGGAAGCCAGATTCACTTAACAATCGTGTTGCTAACTTAACAATGGCAGTGATTCACTTAACAAGAGTGGCAAGAAAGGTCGTAAAATGGGGCAAAACAACTTTCCTCGCTTTGTGGCCGTAAATTGAGGATTATCTGTATGCAAAAACTGTGGTGGGGTTTTCCCCACGTTAACCTCTACTACACACACAATCCCATCTCGGTTTACTTTGGCAAAATGGGTAACGTCAGTTTGTATATTTAATTTCTCTTTGGTCCCACAAGATCACAATGATTACCACAGATCTATCTCAGTAATCCTGGACAGAATATGCCAAGGCATAATGTGTCATAACAGAAGACCAGCATGGCGATATGTGCTGAGAACAACTGCCAGCTCTTTCCAGAGTAAGATTGCTTTCTTTCTTTCTTTCTTTCTTTCTTTCTTTCTTTCTTTCTTTCTTTCTTTCTTTCTTTCTTTCTTTCTTTCTTTCTTTTTCTTTCTTTCTTTTACTTTCTTTTTCTTTCCTTCCTTCCTTCCTTCCTTCCTTCCTTCCTTCCTTCCTTCCTTCTTTTCCCTCCCTCCCTCCCTCCCTCCCTCCATCATCTATCTATCTATCTATTTTATATAGCTGCCCATCAGTGGTGGGTTTCAATTTTTTTTTACTACCGGTTCTGTGGGTGTGGCTTGGTAGGTGTGGCATGGCTTGGTGGGCGTGACAGTGGAAGGATACTGTAAAATCTCCATTCCCACCCCACTTCACTGGGGAAGGATACTGCAAAATCTCCATTCCCACCCCAATCCAGGGGAAGGTTACTGCAAAATTAAAAGGGTTACTGCCCCCTGAGATACGAAATATCCCTGATCTCCGTGATTTCCGCCGTGCCCTCAAAACCCTGATGTTCCAACAAGCGGGGCTAAACATATGAACATGTGAATGTTTTTAAAATGTTATCTAATTTTAGGTTCTATTTAATTGGGCCAAACTATATTATAATAATAATTTTAATTAGCAATTTTATGATGTTTATGTATCTATATTTTTCTTGACTGTACATCGCCTTGAGTCCTACGGGAGAAAGGTGGTATAGAAATATAATTAATTAATTAATTAATTAATTAATAATAAAATCCCCATTTCCTCCCCATCAGCTGGGACTCAGGAGGCAGAGAATAGATTGGGGGGGCGAGCCAGTCAGAATTTTTACTACTGCTTCTCCGAACTACTGAACATTTCTGCTACCGGTTCTCCAGAACTGGTCAGAACCTGCTGAAACCCACCTCTGCTGCACATCTCCCAAACAAGTGACTCTGGGGGCATGCATGCCACAAAACTAGAACAAGTAACGCTAAACCCCATCGTCATTCACCTGTTTTCTTTCTTTCTTTCTTTTTTTTAAAACCATTTTACTTATTTATCTTAGTTATAAGATGAAAAGCTGCTGGAAATGCCTCCACCCTCCACAACATCTACTTAGGTCCCCACTCCCATCAGGCTGTTTTTTGGATTCCCAAGCCCACCGAGCCCAGGATGATGGGTGCGGAGGTAGGACACTCCCGACACAATGGCAAGGCATAACAGAATAACAGAGTTGGAAGGGACCTTGGAGGTCTTCTAGTCCACCCCCCACTTTTCTCTGCCGTTGGCTTCTTCTTTTCTGGGATCGGGAGCGCCTCGCCTGCGATCTATGCGGGGGGGTGGGTGGGGGGGAAACCTGTATAATATAACCTGTATAAAAAGAGCCTTGGTAGTACAGTGGTTTAATGCACCCTGTTATTAACACAGCTGCCTGCAATTTCTGCAGGTTCGAATCTCACCAGGCTCAAGGTTGACTCAGCCTTCCATCCTTTCTAAGGTAGGTGAAATGAGGACCCAGTTTGTGGGGGCAATAAGCTGACTTTGTATAAATATACAAAAGTATGAAGGCTATTGCTTAACGCATTGTAAGCCGCCCTGAGTCTCCGGAGAAGGGCGGCATATAAATCAAATTTAAATAATAATAATAATAATAATAATAATAATAATAATAATAATAATAATAATAATAATAATAATAATAATAATAATTTGGGGAAGAAAAGTCTGCCTGGTCAATCAAATACAGAGGGTTTCCCCCTAATTTTGGCGTTTTTGCACTTTCTTCCATCCCCCTTCCCTTAATTCTTTGCTTTTTTTTCATACTACCTTCTCCTGGGTCCTCTTGTCCTTTTGCAGCTGTTGAAGCAATTAAAAAAAAAATCCTCTTCTTGCTTTGCAGAAAAAGGAGAAGCTTTGGCTTCCTTTCATTCACTCCCCCACCCTCTTCCTTTCTAGGAAGCCCAGCTCTATAGGCTTAACCCTTTGGAAACTAAGGCTTTTTTTAAAAAAAAAGAAACAAACTTTGATTTGAAAACCAGAGTTTAATTTTAAGTCAGAAGAGACTCGGGAACTAAAAGGTTTTTTTTTTTTTATCGCTGGCCAGATCAAACAAGGAGGTACAATCCAACCATTTATAATCTATAATCCTGCTTTTCTCAACCTTTAAAATGTGTGGACTTCAAATCCCAGAATTCATCCTGGCTGGGGAATGCTGGGAGTTGAAGTCCACCAGTCTTCCAGTTAACAGAATAACAGAATAATAATAGAGTTGGAAGGGATCTTTGGAGGTCTTCTGATCCAACCGCCTGCTCAAACATAAGAGTTTTGCAACTCTGCAGTATCCCAAATCAGGCTGCTGAAAGTTGGAGGCAACTGGCAAAAATAAAAGTTGGCCACACTTCTTGTAATTATTTTTGTTGTTCTTGTTGGAATGAAATAAACTAAGTGCTCTAATGAGTTTGAAAGTAAAGACTTCTTCAAGTTGAGTTTCGCTCTTGTGGCTTTAGGAAGACGTCCCTGTGGTTTTCTTTGCAGAAATATTTAAGTGGTTTGCCATTTCCTTTTGTTGGAAGAAATATCCTTCTGGGTTCAGCTCCAAGTGGGGAAAAAGACACTGGAAACATGGAGACTGCTTGGAAAGATGGTTTAATGGTGGACAGGATCACATGGTTTGAGTTCCTGAACAGAAAAAAGGTTGAGACGCAGCGAGTCCCTGGATTTTATGCCCTCTCTGGCTCTGAACTTCCTGGGGCCCAGGAAGAGTATCCTGATTGGTTGTCAGACTCCCAGGGGGTGGGGGTCTTAGCTCGCCTTGCTCGCTGATGTAATCTTCCCAGGTGCCATGTGGTGAGTTTCTGTTGCTAGATGGGTCCCATTGTGTTGCAGATGATGGTCCTTTGACAAAGGATGGGGTTTCTGCCTCTGGCCCATTGACAAAGGGTGGGGCAGCAGGAAGGTGGGAGCTGCTTTGTCTTTAAAACATGCTTCTCCATTTCTCATACAGGGAAACATAATATTCTGCCTTTTTAATATTTCCTAAAATATTGCATTCTTCTAGGAAAGGGGTGGGTGCTAACTTCCTACACTTTCTTCAAGGATTTTTTCCCCCTTTGGATGGGGATCTAGCCTGAAATTCTAAGATTTTCTGGTAGTCTCCCATCCAAGTACCAATGAGAACTAACAAAACAAAATGAAATTCCATGGTGAGAGAAGTAAGGTTCTACCTTTAGGCAAGAAAAACCAAATGCACAGATCTAGAATAGGTGGTACCTGGCTCAACAGTAGAAACTGTGAGAGGGATTTAGTGGACAATCATCTAAATATGAGCCAGCAGTGTGCTGCAGTCACCAAAAAAAGCCAACACAACCCTTGACTGCATTAACAGAGGGATAGAATGAGGATCATATGAAGTGTTAGTACTAATTTATAATGCCTTGGTAAAACCACACTTGGAATATTGCAATCAGTTTTGGTCGCCAAAATATAAAAAAAAGATGTTGAGACTTTAGAAAGAATGCAGAGAAGAGCGACAAAGATGATTAGGGGGCTGGAGGTTAAAACATATAAAGAACAGTTGCTGGAATTGAGTATGTCTAGTTTAATAAAAAGAAGGACTAGGGTGACATTATAGAAGTGTCCCAATATTTGAGGATCTGCCACAAAAAAAGAGGGGGTCAACCTATTACTGGAAGAAATTTACTGAGTTTGTTCCCATCTGGGACACACCACAGACGCTGAGAAGAAACGTAGTGAAGAGAGAAGAAACGGATGCAGAAGCCAACTGCTAGAAAGTGGGATTCTTTTAATGTAGGAAGGCAAGAAGCAAAAAGTGAGACAGCTGGAGCGTTCCTGGCTTGCAA